CTTTTCACAAACGCGCCTGTACAGGTCATGTGAAAAATAGACATAATGAAACTTTAAAAGAAAATGAAAGGAAAGATAACTTGTCGAAATAATTCGATGGCAGAAACAGTAAACCCCACTGTTGAAGAACTTTGGTTGGACAATTGTGCACGTCCACAGGACACTTCTGATGCTGCTCGGTTAGTCCGTAACATAATCTCGGAAATTATTCCGAATATGATCAGCATCTCTGATGCTCAGAAAGGTTTTTGTCATAAAATTCATCAAAAACATGTTTATTTGCTCTTATTGATTTACGGACTTCTGAGAGCACAAAAGAAATAACGTCATGACATCTTATAAGAAACAAATCAACGAATTCACTTCTAACATACACCATTATCATACAGAAGCCCTTCATTGCTGTGGCTACTGGATGCTGTTACAGTTGATGGAGTCTCTTTACAAATAATTTCTGGGTTGACTGCAATCAATCCAACATAAGTCACTGCTAAAGTCCGCTACCTTGAGTCATGCTTTTATTAGCAAAATGAGTAAAATAAAACAAGTTATTTTTCATGCATGTTGTTCGTATTTTATACCATCATCTGATATACTTCTATCTATGAAAGCCAATTACGCTTAACAAGTTCACAGTTGCCCTACGTCAATGAGCTCTCTCACTGAATATGACTGAATGACACAGGGCACGAAAAATTGAGAGCATGTTACTCACTTACATCTCGTTAGCTATTTTTGATGGCCACCAAGCATTTCGAAACACTTCAGCTAAACAATAAATGAAGTACAGATTTATGCATCTTAGGAAAATTCTTTTGTTTACATTTTCTTTCTCGTGGTAACGATAATTATCTTCCTATTTTACTAAACAGTACGTTATTTTGTAGGGTTTTTTGAAAGTGTGAGTACAGGAGGCGGCTTTTCGAACGGGAAGTTTAGTACTAACGGCAGCGCTCCAGGGGTATCGCGACACTTTTTTGCGCTACTTCTTCATTTCTGCTTTGTGCACAACCAAATTTTGATATACATTATGAATAAATTTGAAAATTTATTTTCCGTTTTTATAATTAGGTAAAAAGGGGTTTTTCTATTTTGCGTTACATGGTATCGCGAAGTCCTTGAAAATTCATTAATCAGGTGCTGCTATAATAGTTTTTCGGTGTTTGCATCGCAGATTAGCAATTGTTTCTAGTTAAGTATGCACTGATGGTAGGCAAATCTTTTAATTTTATATGAAATAGCAAGATTCAGGCATATATCTTCATAAAAATTGTATTGTCGTCAAGGCTACAAAAACTGCGTTACAAATAACGATACCATGTAAAGATTTATCGTTTTTCCCATCTTTATCACAACTTCTGCTGATTGTCACTGTTTTGTTCGACTTTTATGGCAGAAATAGGTTTATAGTGAAAACATAAGGTGTCCTGAGTGTTGTAAATATTATGTATATGCTATAGATGATAATAACACATACCAAGATGTTAATATTGCCTCCTACAGTTAGATATATTAGCCACCAGATGATTGTATTGCAGGAAATAAATCATAATCGTGCGGTAGAGGTATAATTATGTGGAGGTTTTACCAGAGACCAAGCTAAGATGGCATTACTACCTCTTGTGTAGATGTACACATGTATTTGGCTGTATCAAAGCATGTCATTGAGATATGGTTGTAACTTTTTTCTTTTTTTTAATTCAGAATTCACGGGACGACTACCTTAATTCTCAATAGCCGTGCAATTGTTTTGATGTTATACTTACATTTCAATAAATATTATTTTTCAAACTGCTTACTTTTTTACTTACATGGGAAGCTGTAGAAGTGTTGAGAATGTGTGTTTGAGTGTCAGTGAACAATTGAATAAATGCACATTCCTTATAAATAATACATCACGTGTTTCTTCTTTTGCAGATAGTTTCACATAACAATGAATTAGCAATTGCATTGGATATGCAAAACAATCGATGCTTAAGCTTCTGCTCTAGTGTTGTACAATAATACGCTTTACCTTTTAAATAAAAATTTTCAAAAATATGCCGGTTTTCCACTGTATTGCAGATTTATTTTGGTCTGTTGTTAAAAATGAAGGCGAACATAAGAGACCTTTGGGTTTATGTCAATGGATGGAAAGCAGGGAGTTCTGTGTGCATTTAGGCGAAAAGTAAACAATTCAGCGGACATTTAGGCGAAAAGTAGACAAAAGTAGACAGTCAGGCGAAAATTCGGTAATTTGGCAGATATTTATGCGAAAAGTGAGTAATTTATCGACAAAACGGCGAAGAAAGGGGAAATCCACATTATTTCCCCCGGACAGGCGAAAAAAGCGACATTGTGATGCGTTTTCCCCTTTTTTGGTTGTCTGGGGAGCTTCAATATCTTGGCTGCCGGTATTATTGCAAAAATACCTAATATCAGAAATAAGTACTGATATAAAGCTGTCACGAGAAAGCACTGAAAATTACGATTCGATAGTCAAGATATCTTGATCTAAGGTGACCAGATTGTGTGAGATCCTATGTGATGATCTTCGGAAATCAACCAAGGCCTGTCTAGCTTACGTGCTGATGCCGTTAATGACAAGTACTCATAACTTACGTGGGATCGCAATAGAATATGCATCAAGAATTGCAGGTTGCACAGGACGATTCAAAGTAAATTCACACAGTAGTCTTTATATATGTTCATCGTCTAAGTTTCCGAAGTGCAACCTGTCCAAAGAATTGAATAATACAATCCGTGTATGTTGTAACCCAGACGTTCCTAAGCAACGCAAGAGATAAAGGAAATAAGCGTGATTGACTATCCAAAGGAAGAATGTGCTAAATGCACTTTCGATCTGTAATTAAATACTGGTTTCCGTTTTTATACTAGTTTCTGATAAACATTTATACTGAAATAACTTTCCTGTCTATCTTATTTCCAGCTAGCTTCGCAAGCGTTCAAAAACCTAACGGGAACAAATCCTGAGAAATAGAATTTATTTATTGATGGATCATTTGTGCTAGATTCAAACTTTAATAAACGTTTTCATTTATAACGCACCAGTCTTTTAATCACGGCAATTCTTATCTATCGTGACAGGTCGAAATTCGAACTACATGTTCAAGGTAGCAGTATTTGGTAAACGGTATGTATGACTAATCGCGTGTGCGCCAAACTGGTAATTATTACACAAGAACGCGAAACAACATCCCTGTCTCACAGCCACATAAGACTGAACAGTACACTCCCTGCCGTTACGCTATAAGAATAAATCAATGGCCATATAAATGAATTTATGTAAAAGTAAAATGATTACAATATTAGAACTTCTTGTTATCAAGAAGCATAGCTATGATCTGTATTAACAATGGATTCTGATGTTGTAGCTTCATCATTAGCACCGATTGAACTCATCCCTTGTGCGCATGTCTTCCGATGCTTCGAGGCATGAACGGATGAGTTTACTTGCCAAAGGTTCACTAAGAGCATGGACTGAGTGGTAGTTGTTAGTGAACTTCTCTAGCAGATCAACACTCCCTGTGGAGAATGACATGTTGTCCAGCGCACGAAGAACCAAGTCCATTATGTATTTCCATTTCCACCGGCTGCTATGTCGAAATAAGTCTACAAAGCTTATAGAGATAAGGGAACACACTCTTACCTCCACGAATTAGATCTTTGGAATGTACATACATTGGAACCTGGAATTCATGATACATTTAACTATATTTCTTACCTAAAGAAATGGAAAACGTTGAAGATTTTTTACAGCGTCATATGGATGCAAACATAGGTCAGTCTGTTTTACCCCAAATTTTTCAGAACGTCAAAAGCAGGGAATCACCTCTTCTGAGACGTTCTTTTAGGTGTTTGTGAGCATTTTCGACACGGTTGTTTGTGTGGTTGCCCAGGCTTAATACATGTCACCGGTAACAGCGAGCCCACATTGACTTCCTGGCAATCCAGTAGTCTTTTATGTAGTCATACGCTCGTGAGAAATGCGTCCTTAGATGTTCGTACTTTCGAGTATATCTGAATATAATGCGCTATGAAAAGCGAAGCTCACATATCAGACCGTCTAGTCTTCACAAGGTGTTCCAAGCATTTGCGCACATCAGGATTTCGGAACTACAGATAATTTGTACAGCTAACACATACCTTCCTGAAAAACGCTATCAGGGCATGGAATAAACAAAGTATTATGTTAGAATGACTGTGCGTAGACTGCACAGCCGAAATTTCGGTCGCTGCCGAATCCATAACGAAAGTGCGTGTATCATAAGTACCGTACATTATATGGTTAAAAAATTCTGATAGTTTTTAGACATCTTCGCGTCGTTCTTGACTGCAAAGAGCATAAATAACAGTGTGCTTTTGCCCAAGACTATCAGTCACTACTAGCTGGAACAGTGAAAAACTTTCAGATAAATTTATTACTAATCGTTACCCGACTTTATTGGTCTGATAAGTAAAATCAATACATATTACCTCCAGGAACGTGAGGTAAACAGCTATTTGCTCTCTGTGGCTGAAGCAAATCATAGTCATGTTCCCATTTTCATTGAATACTTTAACTTCAGTATTTGCTTGAACGCGCTGTAAAATGTCATTGATATTTTTAGTGTCTAAACTCAATTAATTACAATGTGACATATCTCACGAAAAGGTACTTTAGAGTTGGATCATCATTGTTCTTTTTGCATACTGACATAACGTACTTAGTATGCGTATACTAAAAAAATAATTATTAACCACAGAGGTCATATTACCTTATGTACTTCTTTCAAACAGGTCTCAAAACTGTCCCAACTTGTAAATCTTCGAGATAACATAATATCATTGAAGATTCGTCCTATATCATGCTTCATCACGATGGAATCGTCTTCGTTACTTGAAGAATGAACGTTATCAAACATAATGTGGCTGAACTCAATTCATATCTAAAAATGTCTTGATTTGACCGCTTCCGAAAATTTTCACGAATTGTCGATGTGACGCACCAATCATATTGCGACAGTTTGACCTTCAAGTGCTCGCAACCCCCATCAGTGGACGATACCCTAGGAGCGTTGCCAGTACTAACGTGATTTGCATTTATCAAACTTTTGCTGTGTTCTTACGCAACAAAAGTACCATTTCAGTTCTAAAGAATCTATCCTGAGCTATACGTTCGGTAGATTACTATTATTTTTGAGTTTCACCATATTTAATAGTTACCTGTGGTTTTGCCTCAGTTTACTATTCCGTTTGTTTTTGTTTTTCACGTATAGACTAGTTTCAGTTTATAACACTCGTTTTATCCATTTTCGTCCGTTTTCAGTGTGCTTTTTAGTGTTTTTTAAAGGTCTTAGGCTCTTGCAAGCATCTTCAACATAGTCATGAAAAACTCATGCAAACGTCCGGGATGCCGTTTTGCTGTTGCAACTGGCATGCAGTGCGACAACTACAAAGGTTGGTTCCACGAAGCATGCACAGATCTGACATCAACTGCTTACAACAGACTCAGCAAGTCAGACCAAAAATGATTATGTGTCACGTGCAGCACGGATGCTGTAGTTTTGCTGAGTAACATCATTGTCCTACTGACAGGTCTTCGGAACAAGTTGTCAGTTAACTTGAACAACGACAGTAAGAAAACCGGTAGACAAACAAGAGCGTGCGATGGATACAAAAACAGGGATGTCGATAGGTATACCATCGATGGAACATCCATCAACACTAATGATGACGTGTCGAGGCTCAGCACCATCATTACGTCGAAGGTATTAGACTCCCTAAGCAAACTCGGGTCTCCCAGCTCAGGGTCCCTGAACTCAACAGTGGTTCCCAAAAACCCTGTAGGTGATTCGACCCAAGTTAAGAAAGCCCAAAAGAATCAGACATCACCGCCTAAGCCGAGCAACCCAAGTGTTGCTGTACGGAAATTAACTGGTGATTTGGTCGCACAGTCTACTCCCAAGACTGTTCGTCCGGTCAAAAAAGAGCCCAAGCCTCATAAACACACACTGACCTCCAAACAGCAAGTCATTAAACATGAATTCGCCATGAAACCTGGTAAATTAACAACAGTTCGTGACGACTCTCTCATTATCATGAACCTCGTTGATAATCCTGACCTTCCTCTCAGTCTGCAGGACAAAAACGACAGGATGCTTTGGGGTGAATTGAACAAGAAGCTAGAACTTCCTAGAATAGAGCCTTTGATGGTCACCCGGCTCTCTAGAGGAAAGGACTCTAAGCATCTAAATAACCCAAGGCTTCTCCGAGTAACACTTAAGAATGCTACTGATGTAGAGGATGTCTTACTAGCAAGTCACTTGCTGAAATCAGATAGTAACGTAAGAATATTGCCCGATATACCGTTCTCTGAACGCAATATCATACGTAACATCCCTAAAGAATCTCGTGAGAAGTTTTTCCGCGGAAGAAACATAATTGTGCAAGGTATACCGGAGAATGCAGACCCTACTCAATCAAATTCTGACATCAGGGAGTGGGAATTCATCAAACAGTCCTTGAGGCTCAAACACATACTGACTCAGCATGTGACGAGATTAGCCAAGAAGGACGGTGATCTTAGACCCCGTCTAATGAAGATAACCTTCCCATCTTCCCACATGGCGGCTGCAGTTCTGGAAGCATTTCGTGCCAACAGACGTCGATTGCCACCTGGAATCCACATGCACCCGGACAGGCCATATGAAGCCAGGACCAAGCACAAAGGCAATTTTGAGCTGACCATTCCACTTGTGGATTGTCTAAACGATAAAAAAACGTGTAAAGGACAGGGCCTACCACCTCGGTAAACCTCACATGGGTGGGCTACCTGTCCATTCACATAAGGCTCATACAGAAAAACAGGACGAAGCTCACGCGTTCCAAATTGAAAGCATAAACTGCTTATATATGAACGCCTCGAGTCTACCAAACAAACTGGACGAATTACGTGAACTTTGCAACGCTAATAAAGCCCACCTGATAGGAATATCTGAAACTTGGATATCTTCTCAGTTCTCGGACCAAGAGTTAGCATTACCAGGGATGACTTTGTTCCGCAACGACAGAACAACAGGAATTGGGGGTGGAGTAGCCATATACATAAGCTCTTGCTTGGAGGTGCACCAAGTTCACAACCTCGAGTTTAACAATCTTGAGGAATCCATATGGTGCTCTATAAGACTGTCTAGCACTTCGAGGTGTCTAGTCGGTGTCATTTACAGGAAGCCAACTGCTGACATCGAGTACGATAGTCGTATGCTGGATGGACTATCCCGCTCTACTCGTCTCGGTTTCACACACATCCTGATTCTAGGGGACTTTAACCTTCCTAGAGTCAACTTCGTAGAACACACGTATACTGGAGGTGACAACTCAATTGAAGCTCGGTCCTTCAACCTCATCGATGACTTGGGCTTATATGAAAATGTGAGGTCGGCAACTCGTTGGAGAAACAGTCAGACACCATCGCGGTTAGACTGTGTATTCACAAACGAAGAATTCCTAGTTGACAACCTCTCAATCTTGGCTCCTCTGGGAAAGAGCGATCATGCCGTCATAGCCTTCAGTTTTGTCACCAAAACTAAGCTAAGGTATCCCAACAATAACTTGCGTTGGAATTTCAAACGGCTGAATGTGCCAGCTCTACACGACTATTTACAACAGGTGGTTTGGGATGTTCACCCCCAACTCGATGTGGACGGTCACTGGAACTTCTTACTGCACACGCTCTTATGTGCTACAAACCATTCAGTTCCCCAAACGGTTCCCAAAAGCTGTAAGCCACCTACAATAATCAAGAACCGTACCCTTCGCCTGCTAGGCCGTAAAAGGCACTGTTGGGCGGAATACAAACGAACTGACAACGACGGAGCGTATAGGCAATTCAAACATATCAGGAACATATGCACAAAGGCTATAAGAGAAGACAGGCTTCATTATCAGACAAAGCTTATGGACAAATTTGCCTCGAACCCTAGAAGCCTATTCCGTTATGCAGCCTCTCTTCATCAAGCCAAAACAGGAGTTTCTCAACTGCTAGGTCTTAACGGCCCAACCAACAACGATGGTGACGCCGCTAACCTTCTGGCGGCACATTACTCTCAAACATTTCAGCCGGCTGACATCAACTCTATTGACGACAGTTTCACCTGTAATTCCACAGGGCTTTCCGAAGTGGACCTAAGCGCTGACTTGGTGTTCCGGAAACTGCAGCACTTAAGACTAGATACTTCTCCTGGCCCGGATATGGTTCATTCTGCCATACTGAAGGAGGCAGCCTCAATCCTGGCAACGCCGCTTAGCGTGATGTTTTCACACTCGCTAAGCCAAGGCAAATTACCAGAAAATTGGAAGTTGGCTCACATCACACCAATTTTCAAAGGGGGTCGACGCAATGAACCTTCAAGTTATCGGCCTGTGGCTCTTCTGTCATTACCTTCAAAATTCATGGAGTCCCTGATATGCGATGGTTTAAACGATTATCTACTGTTCTTAAACTTCTTCTCACCCCAACAGCATGGTTTCAGGAAGGGTTACTCTTGTATGACCAACCTGCTGACTGCGGTGGACAGATGGACAAGCATCCTCGATCGCAAGGGAAAGGTTGATATCATATACCTTGACTTCTCAAAAGCTTTTGACAAAGTTAACCACTTGTGTCTTATCAATAAGCTCAAACGACTAGGTATCAAACCACCTCTAATCGATTGGCTTACTTCATACCTAGAAAATCGACACTTTAAGGTTAGGGTTAATTTCACTTTATCTCAGGCTATGGAATGTCCTAGTGGGGTTCCCCAGGGCTCAGTATTAGGGCCTCTCCTCTTCTTGATCTACATAAACGATCTTCCTCAACAGGTAACGTCAGACTTACTACTTTTTGCCGATGACGTGAAACTTTGGAGAGAGATACGCAACCAAGACGATACACAGGCACTTCAGGTGGATCTGACTCGACTTCAAAGTTGGGCAGACGATAACGGACTTACGTTTAACACTTCAAAGTGTAAAGTAGTCCATCTGCGACATGTCGCAGACTACAGTTATAACTTAAGAAATTCCTCTCTAGTAGTATCCCAAGTCGAAAAAGATTTAGGAGTCCTGGTGCCCCATGATTTAAAGTCTTACGCTAATTGTGACAAAAATGCCTTCCGAGCAAACCTTGCACTGGTAACATTGAAGCGCATTTTTGACCAGTTTGACGGAAGAACTTTCCACACAATCTTCAATAGTTTTATCCGTCCCCATTTAGAGTACAGAAATATAGTACTCCCCTCCTCACTCCAAAAGGACAAGATCACTTTGGAGCGTATCCAACGGCGAGCCACGAAATCAGTTCGCGGACTCAAATCTAAGCCTTACGAAGAACGCCTCCATTTACTAGACCTTTACCCATTAGAGTATAGGCGTCTTAGAGGTGATTTATTAATGGCTTATAGTATTCTTAACACTTCTGGACATCCTCTTAAACAGCTACTCAAGCTTAGTTCGAATAATAGCCTAAGGGGTGACACCCAGAAACTGGAAACTCAATATAGCAAGACGGGATGTAGACACAACTTCTACTCCTTAAGAGTTGTCAAAAGCTGGAATTCGCTGCCGGCCGAGCTAGTCCAAGCGACTTCTCAGGAGTCCTTCAAGAGGCAACTTGACCTATTCTTAAGGGCCAAGGAGAGTATCATACTATGATTTACCAATTTCTTTTCCTCTTTTATTGTTAACATACCTAGGTTCCTGCCTGGAGGATTTGGTGATCCCCTGCTACTAGACACGGAAGCCTGTTAAGCGAAAGCTTCTTCTATTCCGTCCACAACCATTTGAACCATATCCAAACAAGGTGTGTTACTTGTATTTTTCTACAAATCTCTTCCAAAAAGAAGGGGGAGAAATCGGTATTTCTCCTCTATTCATGCTTTCGTCCGCTTAATTCCCTCTTTATTGGTTGCTTGGTTCCAATCTCTGGTGTATGTTTATTTGACCCCAATATTATTTAGATACTTTGGAATATGTTCCTATAACTGAAAAATGTTTACATTTTTTGTCGTTTTCATTTTTTTTGTAAGCTCCGTACTTATTCAGGGTCATTTTCTTAAATGATTAGTTAACAAGGTAACTCGAGTCACTCAAATATTTTACGTCGAAGAATATATATATTCCCATTATAATGGGAATTGTAAACATAAACCTAGTATAATGCTCCTGAAATTCTAGGTAATACTGCAAATTTAGTCTCCCTGTTTGCTTGAAGTTATGTGTTCTATGTGCTTGTTCAGATACCTTGTGATATTGGGGTCTAAACATTAAGAAATACTGAAGCCAATGAAACTGCTACCAAATTAATCTTGAATAACGGTTGTTTAATTGCTTATGGGCTAAAAATTTAATTTTAAGGATTGAAGTGAGTGGAACAACTGACGCTACATTCTCGTTATCTTTGCGTGCGCTAAAATGACATACAACGCAAACATATCGGAGATTGAAATCCAGCAACATAATAATCTAAGTTGAATGTAGTTGACAGACATACAAGTCATCTCAACACTTAATTGCCTGAAATAGATATCTAGCAAAGTAGAAGTTGCAGTGACCAAATGGGACTCGTTTTCTAGATATCAGATAAAAGCATTCTACATCTATGTGCAGGTTGAAGTCTATTTCTGACTGATATTAACGTTTAACATAATCGTCTTCTATATTCTACTCGTCATCGTCTCAAGCAGATAATATTGCGATTAGGTGCGGTTTTGTCCAAAATTGTGTTTTACTTTCGAGCACATACCTGATTCTGGCTATCCTACAGAGTGTACGAAGTCGCAAGTTTTGTTGGTCAATATGTCCATCGTTCTAAAAGAATTGGTGAAAGTAATTTATTTGCATCTGAAATCATGATCAGTTGTCTAATCGAACCAAAGGGAAGTGCAGATAATAAATATATTCAATTTCTGTTAACTAGTTCCCTTCATACTCACCAAACTTTTCAGAACTTGAGAAACCAACTGGTGATGAATAGGCTGTTATTGCTGGGCCTTTAGGTGATTAAATAAAGGCAATATTTCCTTAGTTGGATTCACTGACTCCTATTTCTATCTATTCAGGAAAGTGCTCATATCTTGATTAGAATTTTGATGTAACCGTAATTTATGGTTAAAGATTTAGTGTGATGCTTCTTGAAACGCTCTCATTGCCATAGATGGATTCCTTCCACTCGGATGTGTCATCACATATATTTGTTGCTTCTCGAACCCATCTTTTTTCTTGACTTTCTATTACTTGCTTCACTACGTACTATTATTTGTATTGATATTCTCGGTTCTTATTTATCTCTCTTGTGATGGTTGACTCAAGGAAATAACTGAAATGTCCGTCTATATGGGCAGTTATTTAAGTTCAAGTAACTTGTTTCATGTCACTGTCGGCTTTGTTGTGTTATCAGTCTGACTACCAAATGTTCGGTGCCCAACGTAAAGTTTTAGCGTTCACATGTGAAAACTGACATCATTAAGCTGCGAGTATTTAAAGGTCGTCTGTTTTTGTTTCTTCCGAACGATCGGTTGTGTTTGGTGAAGGTACGGTTATACCAAGGTTCGGTAGTGAACATTTAGGGATACTGTAAACCATTATACAACTGATGTTGTCCTAAAGCATTAATTAAGTTCTACGCATATTCCAAAATATCTCACGAAACACTAATTGCTGCATTCGATACAGAGTGCTATAGAGAGTGGCAACCGTTCGGTTTACACTGGTTAACCCGTTATGACTCGCTAGATAGAGTCCTAAAGACCAGGGAGGCATTTTTACATATAGCCTCTAATTAATGGGAGCAGCATTCTTAGATTGCGTTCCATCTTTTTTTATGTGTAATAAGCTATCCTTTTTGAAGCAATAACCAGCATCCTTCATTACTGCTTTTTTGTGGTCATTGCATAATTTCCTCTCTTGCCGTGATGGAATTCTCGATATCTCGTTGTACTAAGGTTTTTACGTTATTAGTAGTGGTTGATAAGGGGGGAATCTCATTGGTTAGAAATTTATGGTTTGAACCAAAAAACCATCGGGCAATAATATGATTTTAAAAAATCAAATTTATTATATCGAAGAATATTCTCTTTTATTCTCTTCTTGGTATTTATCGATTTGCAACTAAAACTTATATTCTTTGATCATATTATTGGTATACCTAAAGCTTGCTAATTTTCCCTTCATTAATGTAAATATATTTCAGTTCCGCTTATTAAATGTTACATGAGTTGTTACTTGCTTTACATGGAATTTCCGGTGGTATATTCGTCGAGTCTGATAAGACTGAAGAAGAAGAAGATTTATGTATAGACCAATATTTAATACCCATATCAAATAATCTTCCTTTTGTACCACAAGGTGAACTTGTCCTTTATGCGGAATTGTTAAAACTTGGAACTTGCTATAAATATTTGCAAGAATTTATTGAACGCTTTTCCGAATCATATCATGGCTTATATTTATCTGCATTTGCATTCGGAATTGATGATTCACTTCAAGCATACAGAAAAGATCTATGTACACTAGAAACTGAACTTCTGATGGATGCTGATCTTGGTGTTTCACACATTTCTTACCGTCTTCATTCCTACAAGATTTTATTGCCTGTGCTTGTGAAAATCACTAAAAAGGTGGAAAATATAGTTACAATCCCTCAAACTACTGGCGTTAAGTCCAGCTGTCGGCTTTTAGATACAATATTGTCAGCTGCGCCTCCTGGTCTACCAGGCCCAAGATTCACTATACAAAAGCTAGTGTTTCACATTATGCAAGTGTTTTTACGACAGTTATCATCGTGGCTTATATATGGAGTTGTTAATGATCCTTATCATGAATTTTTTATCAAGTTAGAAAATTTTACTTCAGTCTCTACCCACTCGAATCCATCCATTTTACAAAGTCCTCATGGTTATTTTGATGATCAATCAAAAAGGGATTCTATGACGGCAAAACCAAGATTTTTGATAGATAATGAAAACCTACCATCATTTCTACCAACTTCATTTGCTCAAAAAGTGCTTGAAACTGGTGAAGCTGTATATTCTGCCACCTATGATCCATCAGAAGCTTCTTTCTTACTGGAATTAGAGAAGAATTATTGTCCTCGTTTTGCGGAACTGTCAACTTGTTTGGAAAAAAATTCAGACGGACTTCAGTCAACTGAGAAAACTTTTAGTAACCTGATAGATCTTAATAAAATCAGTAATTTGGTATGCGATATACAGAGTGTTGTCTCATGTCATGCTTGGTGCAGTTTATTAAAAGAACACAAATTACTTCAATATCTTCGCTTAGTTAAGGATGTCCTACTTTTAGGAAGAGGCGAATTATTCTTGGCATTCCTTGATCATTTAAGTATTTTAAATAATCTGAGCAACAGTAATACCTCACGTTGTGGGACCACTTGTGAAATCCAACATAACATTTTAGACAAACCTCCCCCAGCAAATGAAAGTGCAGTTCAGGCTCTGGAATACGATGTTACTGAGGCGTTTCTGAGAGCAGCTCGATCTTTAGGTATGGATGATGAAGAACTAGATTCCAATTTTAAGTAAGTCACTGTGTAATATTGAATTTATCAAATATATGTAGACAGTTTTATAGTGTTATGTTACTTCTATGTCAAACTGCTCTTATTTTTGCCAAATGAGTATATATGTATTGGTTGACTTATAATTCTCAGTTGTCACAAGGATATTTGTGTTCTGACTTGTAAGCTATGCCTGCATTTTATATGAAAGTGTTTTAACTTAAAACCTGATGGTTATAAATGGAGTATCAAAAATTTAACAGTTCAACGTCCAGATGTATTTCCGTTAGGATGTTGATCTCAGCATGTCCGTTCTGTTAATCCACGGGAACTGCATTATCTTTTTTTGGCTATTTATTGGTAAGATTTACATATATTCAAGGATTTCATTAAAGGTTAATTTATATACCTCCTGTTTTACAACGGAGATAATTGGGTGTATCTTATGGACCAAATTTCTAGCTCGTCGTTCTGTCCGAACATATGGTTAACACATGAACATTGAAAGTGCAAATGACGGCGTCTTTCAATAATGATTCACATTTAATTAAATTATTGAGTGATCACTATAGACTAGACGCAGATCTTTTGAAGTTAAGTAAGCTATGGGTTCTCACTGTGAGGCGTATTAAAAACTTTTGATTTTTAATGCGTAAAATATTTGACATCAGTAATATGAAACTGTAAGTTTTTGATAATCTAAGTTTAATTATATTCACCTTATAGTGAACCTTTTCCATTTGGTAATATAATATAAGGGGTAGGTGATACAATCATCTATGCTAAGAATTCTACATTATTATTACTACTACTATTATGGTTATCGTTCTCTGGTTTACCATAGATTATCGCATAGCAAATACGTTTATTAGATATACTTATGAAAATCTTCACATTGTCCTGTAAATATTATTTTATCGACTCACTCTGCGATTCTCTATGGTTCATCATATTGTTTGGATCTTTTGTATTTGTTATCTAAAGGTGTAAAAATTCGAACCAATATACATGAAATATAAGTAATTGTAATAACGGCAGATAAAGTAATTGGTAACAACTTTTTAAAAATGAGTACATTAACTTTAATAATTATGTTGGTTTGTTCGGCAAAATTATATCGTCATGCAAAATTAGTAGTAGTACTGTGGTGTGTGCTACTGACGTCGACGGATATATGTAGTATGTATCACCAATCGAAAGTGAAATGCCTGGTGGTAGAAGATTAAGAAGACCGAAGAAAAGGGGACGAGAATAAAGAATGATTGGTATGGAAATGAAAGAACAATCAAGTCTGAGACGACTGATTGACATTTTGCAAATAAAGTATTTAGTGTATGGTTCTTAGATTTTACTAAGACATTCTGTAATTTTGTATTCAAATACATTTGGTTGTCACCACCTGTGTTCTCGTTCACTATAGTACTATAAAAGTCAACATTGATGAAGTGACTTTGTAATCAACAACCACATAATATTGGGTCGTAACCAGTTAATAAGAATTATTTTGTTAATAAAGACACATGATACTTCACGTGGGTTTTATTATTTAACTAATCTTTAGCTTACCGAATAGCCACTGTTTCTACTGGGCGTAAATATGATAAAGATAAGCAATATACATTGTCAGTGATGTGTTAAGACGATGGGAATCGGCTATCACTACTAATATTGTATTAATAATGATGCGGAGACTCAGGACATTTCATATTATGATTATACCTTTTAGTACTAGTTGTTAGTTTCCCGTGTCGTAAATGAATAACAACTATCTGATACTGATTTTCTTACATTCAGAGTATCGATATATGTTCCGCGACAATCATAAAACATGGGCCAACAACTAGTTAAAGTTGGTGGAATAAGCCGTTAGTGATGAGTGGAGAAATCTGATTAGCTCACCGTGTGAAGTTTGTCCTATGTTGCCTAGAAAGAAAATCAAAGCTTCACGATCAAATCACGCAGTTAAGTAAACGCAACTGCGCCAAAAAGTCATATTCTAAATATGTGGGATCTAGCGACACTATCTAGTTGTTCAAACCGAAGTATGTGGAACAAGATTTAAAACTAGCCTACCAGTTGAAAACCACATGCTTTCACCGTTAACACACGTCCCCCACTGACTGACACCCAAAGCTGATATGATTTATATTTTAAAATTCAGACTATTGACACAAATACATTTACTGCTGTACCTTGTACCTAAGGTGGAGATTCGTCTTCATTTTCAGTTGGAGAAAAAATATTGATGTTCATTTTAGGTTATCTTGTGATAAGCTCATTGTTCAGGTGGACGATAGCTTGAGAATCGTGTGTACAAACGATCGCAATCATCTGAATAGTGCAAAAAAAACATGTTCGAAGCTTCCATCTACAGAGGGGGCCGAAAATCATTGTTTTCGACCATCTGCAGAGTCTTCTCAGCTCTCAAGTACTCGATTAAATCAACAGTCTTTATGAACAGCTACCATTACGTCATAAGTTTTGTCGGAGTTATTTCCCTAGTTTTATCGGAATTCAATTTAGCTCAACTCTCTCACCAGATAAGCGATACCATAAAATGACTTCTGTTGACATTACTTTCGAGTGATGTAATCGATCAGTCCTAGGACTTTTCATAAAGTTACTGGGTACAAAAAATTTTTCTCTGTGCATTTTGTAAAATCATACTAAATTTAGATTATTGAATCAGTAATTTGAAAAACCACTCGTTTCGTTTCACATTTCAAGTTTAGTTTTCTTAATTTTTTTAATTTTATCTAGATTTTCGATAGAGTTGACAGCAGCTCAATCAAATAAATTGTCAGAAAATATTACTGTTTGGGATCGTTTGCATTTATGTATTATTGCTCCACCGGTGTTTGAACGTTTATTCTCTCCTAATGTTTGTCGTGCTTACGACAGTTTATTTCGATTTCTATTCGCTATCCGTCGAACACAACTGAAATTACAACAGTTTTGGGCTGATCAGATATTTTTGTGGCGTCGTACCTCTGCTTGTAATCAGTCCAATGTAAATTATGATCAAACACAACCAACCAACGTTTTCATTAAATTGCAATCCTGTATAGGTCAATGCCTCCTAGTTCGTAGTCATATGGCGTTTATTATTGAGAGTTTACAGTATTATTTACAGGTTGGTTTGCTATCATATTTGGGAAAGGGGATCTTCATTGTCATTTTAAAATATACTGGTCGAATATTATTTGTTTCCTATTAGTGTTATGATTATTCACAAAAGTCACTTTTCTTCTATCTATACTGTTTATGTCTAGATGATTCAAATTGTTAATCGCATTCATACACTTTGAAAGTGATCAAAATCGTATAAGCATATCGGAAGCAAGAGAAGTATAGTAATGTTTGATTTGTATTCAGATTACCTGGTCAAACCAAGCAATATGTTAATGAATTGAACTAGAACAATTTGTCAACACGTAATCTGAATAGATATAAGCCTCATAGGATTAATACAATAAAGTGACCAAGCAAATGTAAAACTAGTCAAATATATACAATAAGGTATATATATATGAGTCCAAAATTTGTTGTATGGTCTAGCCTATGACCAGAATTGACCAAATAATGTTTTACCTTTTGTGGTGTAGGAAAAGTTCGAATTATCCAGTGTTTTTATTTTTGTTAGCAAATGATATCCTTGTGTGCCATGTCCGCAGTAACATTTCTTCAATTCATATTAGCCCACTAATCTTTGGTACTATATCCGACTTGTTGCTTCCGCATTTGGTTCGCGACTGTGTCCGAAGGTAATAGTTATTGGTGTATAGGCAGAGTTTTTCTACTGAAATTTTGACGGCTCAGATACCTCATTTCTCTCCAATTGCGTGGGGGATTATCGTTACGTACTAATTGTCTGATCTAGCTGGTTCCATTTTCAAATACACTTGATGGTCCAGTATGTAATTTTATTTTACTCGGTTTAGGAATAGGTTAAATAAAAGCCATAAGTGACCAAATCAAGGCACGACATCATTCTAAAATGTTATTGACTTAGATCGAGCCATAGCATTAGGCCTAAAGTATATGGTTGGAATTCATGCAACCATTATCGTTAATGGTTAGAAAAGTTAGGTTAAATGGATCAGAATCGTTCAGGAAGGCTAAATGCATTCATTCTTTGTTCTCCACAAGGTTTTGAGTTTTAAAATGATATTATCCTTTCTATACCGCGAGTTAATCGTTTTTTTGCTTAAATCATATTGCTAATACTAAATGTTGTCCACTACCACTACACAGTCAATAGTACTAGTAACACTTGTGAGTCATAGTTTTCATTGCACTCATACAACCCGTAATTAATAAAATGAGTAAAGAAATAAATGCAAACTGGATTGAATATATTAAATTGGGTTATCCACACTTGCATTACGGATGAATCGGCATACAATCCCTGATAATATCATTATTCTTCCAGAATATTTGCACTTCATTTCTTTCTCTTCCTCACAGGTCGATGTAATTGAAGCACAATACTCACACTTAATTCATCGTCTACATAGTGATCAAGAAATCGGATTAATTCAAATCGCACATGAAGCTTACCTGGCTGGTTTACAAGCACAAGCATTATTGTTCATGCCAAATATAAAATTATGTATATTACAGTTGTTAAATTATTGCTGTCAATTTGTAGATTTATCAAATCAACAATACTACAATGATCATTTAATGAATATGGATGATGACCATAATCATCAATTGTCTAGTGAAGTGCAAGAGATGGTGAATAAATTTTATACTCAAGCAAAATTATTGTATGATTTATTAAATATTTCTTGCTTAACCGGTGCTAAAAGTAGTGTTGGTTTCAATCCTGGCCATACTGCTGTTAATAATCGTCGGGACTTCGAATCATTATCGTTACCTGGTATTATTACTACTACTGCTACTACCAATCGTCCTCTTTATTCAGAAAAAACAGATTTAAATCAGTTATTGTTACGGATAGATTTTAATCATTTTTATAGTGATTCATCGGAGAATTTAATCTAATTATTGTTGTCGACTGGTGATAGGTCTGTAGATTAATTGATCCTAATCTTATAGAACACAATTTTGTTCCTTTAAACTATTTTTCCTTTCTGAACAGTGTTACTGTCGAAAATTTTTAATGTAAATGTCTGTGTATTGTTGATTTTATTCATATAATAGAAATGATTGCTACATGCACATGCAACAGTGTGCAAGGCGATATATACACTTCTATTCAACAAACAATTGTTCTTTGTAATAATTTCAATCGCTTGTAAGAAATAATTTATTTTTGGGAAAAAAAATTGATCGATGAAATAGATTTCTTAAAGGATAAAATCATGACATCTAAGTAATATGATGATGACAGTGTAATAGCTCGATAAATTGACAATTTACTACAACCAACTAAAATAGTAAAATAAATTCAAAATCAATTAACTTTTGGCAGACGACAAAGTTTGAGAAATAAAAAAAATTCATCATTCATATGGTTAGATATAGAAAAGTACAATTGAAAAAATAAACAAGATTTCTAAAATATAGTAAGCGTAAACATCATTATCATTCATCTATTGCAGAATCGTACCCATGCTTCATAAAAATGATGGGTCGTTTTAGGCTATTTTGTTGTCAGTTTTCTTGTGATCAAGAACAGAATCTTCACATTATTTTATTGATTTTTTAACTAACTGCTATAGTCATTATTGTTATCTATCACACAGATTAATGTCAGTTTACAATAAAAAGAAACAACAAAATTAGTTAATAATAGTATGAATCGCTGCAACTAACAAGCAATGTAATATTATGGGATTAATTATATTTTTATGACCAATTCTCCCAATCATCAATCTAAAGTTAAATTTAGATAAAAATAATTATGATCAGTAGATTACTGTCAATATACATATGTATGATTCATTGAACAATTAGTGATAATGAGTCGGATAAAGTAAAATGTTCTAAGCTTTAAATACAAAGTTAAGGACAGGATAGTTTACCTTATGGATTCAGTTTAACTGAAAAATGATGTGAATCATAACTAACATAAACAAATCGATTAGTGGCGAAACTAAATCGATTATTGAAATGCTCGATGAATGTACTGTTAGTGTAAGGTTTACAGAGATTGTAGGATTTATTGTCGTTAAAATCACTAAATGGCCTTAGATAAACATTGGAAACTAAGAAAAAACTTGACAACTGCTTTATCCTAGTCCCTTACACGCATTAGTTACAAACTTCGAGTAGTTATTCCCCCAAGTTCTAGTGAGAAGCCATGGCCAGCAAATTTCGGTTATGTCGAGTGTTAGCAATGACATTACAAGATGGGTAATATAACGAATAGACTGACGTTACAAATGTAAAACACTAGACACCACCTCAATGGTCTAAATGCTTGTTATAATTTCTGTTATTACGACCTAGCTGCTCCTATTGCTTGATATTCTTAGACACTACTTCTCTCGACAAATCTCCAAATCAGAACACGACTGCATAGGAACGTAATCATATTCCAAATAAAAAATGGTTAGATGGAAGTAGGGATCACAATAGGACAAACGTTAGTATATTTATAATTTTTACATAAGAAGATCCTAGAGTCTTCTCCAAGTCTCCGCTAGCGCCGATTGGTAAAGAAATAGCCAACCAGCGTCCTCAACACAATCTTGTACGGAACATCCAATCTGTATACCTCTAGCAATGTTAAAGATCAGTTGGGACACTTGGAGGTTTTCAATTCGATTCCTGGTGGAGTCGTGGATGCACACTACTATGAAATACTTAGTTTTCAACAGTTGTCTAAATAACATCAGTTTGTGATGTAAATTTCGATGAACTTAACGATCTCCATAAACTAAATAAACCACAGCTCCACTATTATACTATGACGTTATATAACCAAAGGGCAAATCCAATTAGACACACAAACCTGAAAGAAAATTGTAGAAAAACGAATCCAATCTTTAAGAATAAGCATAGTAACCAACAGAGTAAAACAATTTTTTCGCTTGAAAGAAACGGAATTACAAACCTCATCAGTTAATTGTAGCTCAGAATTCTTAATTGTGACGGTCTCGTCTTTATTATTATTAGTTTCAGTGGACTTCTTATTGGTTTTATCCAGTGAGTAATTTTTACGTTCATTTTCGGAATCACTCCAAGCTTCATCATCTGAAATTACAAATATTACAGACAAAATATATGAAAAATTTCTTCCAAGACTCATTAACCAAGTGTACAAGTTCGTGTAGTTCGCTTTGAGTTACATTCTAAGTATGAGGGATACCTATTATACCCTCGGCTGCTTAAACCAAAGTGGACAGAGTAAGACACAAACCATTTACGTACTGGTTGAAATTCAAATACCTTAATTACTGAGCTACCCTAAAAATCTTGGTTTGGTTCAGCCACTCGTTGATATCTTTAGACCAACTTCTAAATCAACCATCGAGCAACAACCTGTCGTTCTTAAACTTCGTTAATTTAGTCTAAGCGTTGAAGAATTGCGAAAAAATGGAATGAACAAAATAACCTGTTAAGATATAACTATGAATAAAGATAATATGATTTTCAAAAGTAGGATACATTACCAGAAATTGATGCCTTATGTTCAATAGTAGACCTTTCAGAAGAATGGACGGTTGATTTATCTGTTGTAAATGCTTTTGCAGTTGTCATTTCATCATTTTCCACTTCATCTGCAAGTATCACAACTGATGATAAACCAGATGTCATTTCTTCAAAATCTGACGAGACATTTGTTGAATTTTGGTCTTCTGTCTAAAATATTATAAAGCAGGATTACAAATTTCAACACGCTCCATTTGAAATGGCATTCTCTTTTAAAGGAAACGTGGTAAAGGCATAATATACTGAAAAACTTTTGGCGACTAATTAGCCATTTGGGAAACACTGCTTAGTTATAAAACAGTTAACAAAATAAAGTAATGAAATAACAGTGGAGTAACAGCTTTGATCGTGATAGTTAATCTTAACAAGTTAAATTATCGCTCGTATAAAAAAATAAAGGTCAATTTTACATATATATGTTCGTATTCGGTGTTGGACTAGCGTTGTGAGTTAGGGCTATATCGTAAAGTTTCGGTCACCCACTGACATCAGTTATGATGCGGTGCGGTTAAGGTTAGGTATAAAGAGTTAAACTGCAGCTTTAAGTTAGGTTTGCAACAAGAACTGACATCAGTAATAGTTTAAAGCCTTGTTACTTTCCTGTTTACAAACTTCAGAAACTTAGGGTTGTGGTTTAAATTGAGAGTAAGGAAGGCAGGAGATTATCTAGCTTCATTAAACACTCTCGATTACGCGGTGAACAACATCACGTGCTTTGACAAACAATGTGCTTTAAGAGCAGGCAGTTTATGTAATTTAGCCTAAGCACTATCTAAAATTCACTTTTCGGTTGGATAATAGATAATTACATTGATTTCAAGCACTTTCAGGATCATGTATTGTCGATTTACACCTGGTGAATAATAACATACGCGTTACACATCACTGCATTTCAAACTTTGAGCAAAATACGAGGCGCTATCCTAATTCTGATTGGTTAATTCAAGGCAGCCAGTATATTTTACTTTCACTAGGAGCATACGTTAGATACAAATTTTCTAACATGAGTTACAAAAATAACATAAACCTTTTTATTAGTGTTTGTTTTACTACTGATCTCGTGCACTTTTTAAAAGTTGGCTCGTACCCCAAATAACTCAGTGGCAACGTCTCCTCAGACTGTGAAGCCAAGTGACGCGGGTTTGAACCTCATAGAGAGTATTAGTTTACACAAGATGTTAGATACTGCTTGTTGACGAGTGACATAAAGCAAGAAGCCAAGTTCCAAGGTATCTCAACTCAATATAATGCACATGATCTCGAAACACATATTAGTAACCACACTGCTACTTGATTAATGGAATAGGATCAGCACTAAAGGATAAGGCAAACATGACATTCATGACTTAGTGATCAGTTAATGCACATAGAACAGAATAGAAAATTTTCTATGTTGCTTATGACTGACTTATAAAATCAAACCATATAAAGTAAAAATCCTACACTTAAGTAGAAATGATCACAATAGTAGAATGAAATCCAAATGTATTCTGACAAATATATACATATAATCATAGAAAATATTTATTATACAGAAATAAAAACATTAACTTTACCGAAATACTGTTGTCAGTTACATGGCAATCAACACAAATCAGAAATAAGATCACAACTGATCGATATATTGTTTTAACAGGTTGTCATTCACCTGTTAAACCTAAAGTTATTATTCCTATTACTCCATTAAACTAAATTATCTTTAACAATGAATCAATGATTTTATAATAATTTAAAGTAAAAACGTAAAAAAAGGCATTAAAAGTACAGTATAGAAACGAGCCAATAAGAATTGAGAAGATGACTTTGAAGTGAAATCTAAAAACAAGTGATGTTCAATTCACATTATATTATATGAACAGTAGAAATACCTTTGTAGATTGCTTGGGACATTCAAAATGATTATGGAGAATTATTTATTAGCCATGATAGAGTAAAATACTAAACCTAGATTGGATATACAACACAAATCAGCAATATTCCTAGATCCTAATTCTAAATATAGAACCCCAAATCTCTAAACAAGAACAGACTTATAAGAATCTATTTGCCTTACAACGGTTCGAGATGACGGATCTTTCATATCCATAAGAACAGTGTTAGGTGTCATTGTTTATTAATTTACAGATAAAACGTGTAGAAGATTTTAGTGGATTTACTATGTAAGATATGTTTGTATTGTGTAATGTGATCGGTTCGCTTCCATGAAGTACTGATTTATAATAACTGCTTTTTTACTGACCAATAGCTGGCTAAAATTAGTCACGGTTGTTTTAAGGTCCTCTTATCAGTAAGCCTAACATGTTGATATTACCATTGACTTAAAAAAGACAAACAAATAAGACATTCAATCTGAGCCAGCTTAGGTAACAATCTCAAGTTGTAAGAATTTGACAATGATCCAACTAAGTAAAGTTATGTTGCTAATCGAACAAATGATTTGTATAAGAAAAATCTCAACATACTGAATGATCCACGCATGGTTCAGGCAATCAGATATGATGGACAAATCCACGTGGAGGCACTTTTAGTGTAAATTTTTATAAACAAATTTATTATTTAGTTGTTTAGTGCTTCCAGGTTTTCAATGATTGCCTAACTAAGGTTGGTTCGTGATCTCAATATCACTGAACAATCACGTGCTAGCACTATGTACCTTGTGAAAAGAAGAATATCACGCGATTTCTTATTCATTTTGAAATACACACCTTAAGGATATATGTAGTATGTTCACTTTCTTTTTTTCTCGCATTGAATATATTGATTAGAATATACAATAACAACATGACTGTTAAAACAAAAATCCATATCTTCAGATATGATATATGGATATATTGTACGTGACAACGAAATTATATTGAGAATAAAACCTTTAATAACAAGATAGTTATAATGATAAAGTAATTGATATATTTTATAAGCTTTCGATAGTCTGGTAGGATAAATTACAAAAGAGTTTCTATATGACTCGAAACCATAGTTCGCATGTTTGTGAAACATGGTCTTTAAAAATAGACAGTAATGGTAGGGTACTATTATTTGAATTGCATGTGAATGTCGGGTAAGCAATACTAAGGTTAAACAAAGGGTGCTGGTTAGAGATGAAAAATTAGCTGATGAGGTTGTGAATCTTTGTCTAGTGAGGCATTTTGAACATCTGTTACGTAGACTCAACCAGGTTGAATGTTAACTGATCCAGGAGTAAGTTGTAAGAAAGTTAGAGGGCGACCAAACCAAAACGTGACGTCGGTCCATGAAGTCACTAACTGTTGAAATGAGCAGTGTAGGTAGCTGCAGACTATATGGTTAGGGTCCGCGAGACTATCACAACCAGTAGTTGGATAAGCTAAGTGGCATAACCCTGAATCGGTCACAAGGATTCAGATCCACTCATTCATTATTTTCCCTTAGACCCCTATTTTTAAAATACTTATACTATGTTGTTTCACAAACTGATACGGATACTATTTCTACCACTTAGAGATTAGTTTTGGTAATTTTTATCTCACTGTGCATAGATGGTCGAATGTGACAAGCTTTAGTTTGCTAATGATTCGAAAAAAGGGATTGAAAAATGAAAAGCAGAAAATAATAATAATAATCGGAGACAGTTGCAAGGTTTATATAATTTATTTTGTGTTAAACAGTCATAAAATCGCTTGATTTATAAAGCTGAGTGACACCTTGAACATGTTTCTTTACTTCAAAGTATTATTCTGCATATATATATATATATATATATATATATATATATATATATATATATATATATATATATATATATATATATATATATATATATATATATATATATATATATATATATATATATATATATATAGTCGTCATAAATTTCCGTTTGATCCGATGTTATTATCTAAGAACTCAAAGATCATAACAATCACATCTGTCACTTTCAAATAAGTGACGAATTAGTTAGTGCATACATATGTACATAGTTTACTAACTTGTAACGTTAATTGCTGTCAACTCTAGAACTTTAACATGCTCACCATATTTAAAATAATACAAATGAAACTGCTTACCGGTAGAGTAGATAAACATTCGACTTTTATATTGTCCGGTTTAAGATTATCCGACAAGTTTTCTTTCTTGTTACAACTTAACTTCCTCAAGTGTTTGATTTTATTCAATGGTTTTTTGTAACTATGTTTTCTTTTAGACTTGCTTTCGTGATTTGATTCCTCATTATCATTATTATTAGTACTACTACTACTACTATCACTATTACGGCGGATTTTCTTTTCAATGCTATTGTTTTGATTGAAAAATCTACTACTGCATTGCGAATCACTTCTGGTACTAGTAATAGTAGTATCATTATTACAGTATTTTGTGATGAATTCATCATTTGAAATTTCTGATTCATTCTCCACGGTTGTATGATCATCACTATCTAATGGATATGAGAGAAAATGAAGCGAATTTAAATCATAGTTTAAGATTATTGCCTAAATACAAATGACTTCTTTGAGAAGTGTAATCATGTTGGAAGAGTCCCAAAAATATCCCCCCCGTCAAAGTCCTTAGAGGCCCAGAAAACCTAGAAGACCTTTAATCCAATCAGCGTTGAGTACAATCATAACAGAAACATCAAGTAAATGCAGAACCACGTGTCACGGTTCTGATTGGATATGTACCTGTACTGCTACTGTCTTAAGTATGGTTCCAGAAGTCTAAGGACAGGCGTGACACTATAAACACCCTCATTTTTCTGCACATAAACTAACCTTGGAGCAAATCTTTTATCCGCATTTCGCGCCTTCTCTGTAGCATTTCAGTTGACATATAGAAGTAGTTGGGTATACCAGAACTGGCTAGGAAGACAGTTTAAGTGGGTCGGTAGCAAGAATTATCAAATCAAAACTTCTAGGTTCCGTATTAATACCACAGTCAGTCAGTCGGCTACAACGTAGGACAAGGTACATATATGCATCGATCTAAGTTGCCATACCTCATTAGCACAACAAGACGAACACTAAATTCATAGTAGTTAATTCAATGGTGCTAATATATAAAAGATTGCATATGAGGATATAGTACAAAAAGAAAGATATAAAGCAATTTTAATCTCATAGTTTAAGGGACGACACAGTATACACACCTACGACACATGAGATACTGAACAAGCTTGACTACAACTACCAACATATAATTTCACATCACCAAATTTGATGACGATGTGAACTATCTAGTAATGAGATAGCATGATTCAAATCAGATAAGCTGCTGGCTTTTTTAACTCAAGACCATTTTTCGGTAATGTTGAACAACTATTTTACTGTTATCTATCATTGCTATGCTTGGCTTTTGTTGACTGTCATTATTGTTCACATTGATTACCTACATATTTTATAAATCTACATTCAATTCGTTCCCGCCTAATAAAGGTATTCGAATTCTATCACAATGACTTTCTCAGAATTCATTTGTTATTGCGATTAAACTTTTAAATATTGGCGAAACAAATGGTGAAGGTTTTAGCCTACTCTCCTTAGATCTGAAATTTGCCTCATTTTCTTTAACCTTTTTAAAAATAACCTTGTATGATGTAGTGAGAATTCAAAAACGAAGCTATACAATCACTGTAATTTGACTAGTTTGCTACGATAGAAACACCCGATCACTACGTCAAACTAAATACGAATACATCGCCGGAAAAGGATAATGACACACGACACACTTGTTGAACATTGAAGATGTTGCAGATAACCTCAGGTAGAAATATTTATAACTTTCAAAAGATTTACTCCTACCTTTTTGGTAAGATAAGTTTAGCATTCCTTAATCCTAGTGTAAAAGGTTTCATTTTATTATCGACTTGGTATTGAAATGATGTTGAAAAAAGATAAACTCAATAGATTTAGGAATGAACGTTAGGAAAGATTAATGTACTGAAGCAGCTTTTTTAAAAATATCACTTCTTGAAAAAAAAGCAATACCATAACATATTCCAACTGACTATTCTTAACGTGGAAAGTTTTTCGTGATTAAGGTCATTCACATGAAATTTAATTTGATTTCCGTCTGGTCATCTACAGTGGTCTATTCAGTGATTTATCATATAAATCATGCTATTTCCAATCGTTAGTTATGACAATTTTAAAATCATTATCGTTAACAGTGAATTTTCAGTGATTAATCATTTAAACAAAGTGCAAACGATTGATAAAAAGTGCACCAAAATGAAAATGTACTGGTTACGACTAATCAGCAATAATTGAAAATAGTTTTTGATTATTCGAATTTTAAAGTGTAAAATACTTGTATTAAATAAGGAACGACTTCAAGATCATACACTACGTATTTCGAGTGTATGATGCTTAAAACACCTAGGTCTAATGGTTAATTGATGTTCGGAATAATGAAGGCGGTGGTAATTCTCTGGTCGCCCATACCGTGGAAGGGTACTGATTTTTTGAGGTAACAAAAAATGAAACGGTGGTCTTGATAACCTGTTTATGTGACTGCAGTGCCCAAGAATGTGTCTGAGCCCGGTTACGCACTGAATTTATGTAAGTAGTTTCAGATGTGCTAGCTCCAAAATGTAAGGCCTTGATGCCGTCGGCGAATATACGCGGAGCAAGGTGAGATGTTCGATTCTCAAAGCACACCTTTGCTAAGCCGGTTTTTCCATTTCAGTAAGTAAAATGCCGCGAACGCTTGTCTGAGACAAGCATTTTGTCGGTTATACCTCAGAAGCTAACAGTATGATTTGGTCTTCTAATCAATGACTTTGGCGTTATTAGTCTGATCACACTCCAATCGACTTGACCAATGTGGTAGGAATTAAGGGAACGAGTGTCTCAGTATCGTGTTTCAGATATATTCAACTTCGAACGACAAACAATGAATAATCGAGGTATTACTAATTGGATATAATTTACTAATGATGACCTGGATCATATATATATGCGTATGTCAGTTAGAAATAATGTGATAAGTATTTAAAGACAATTAGCTGGTCAGATGATAATAACTTGTAAAAATTTAATAAGTAAGAAAACCATATGATTACGGTGTGTTTAACTTTCTATCCTTGAACATAATATTAACAACTCCAAAAAACACTGGAGTCGAAACTTGATTATAATTACAAAAATTTCAACATACTATTTTGAATTATTTTTAACACTTAGTGGATGTCAGGTACGGAAATTTTAAAAAAAATCTATGAACACTGAAAAATGATTATAGGGTGATTAGTGTTCTATTTGTAGTTTAAAACTGAGGACTGACCTTCGTCGAACAACACATACAAAACCAGAAAGCACCACACAGCAATTTCGTCCCATAGACTAATTTCGAGAGGCGATTTCCGGAATTCTGATTAGAAGCCATGATCAATGAATTGCAACCAAGTCAAGTGTGCAGCAGTTACTTACCGATGACATTGGAAATTGGTTGAGCAGTATTGGGAACTGAACAAGGTTAAAAAATCAAACCAGCGGCTGCTTCTTAAATAGTTTAAAAACTAAGCACTCGTTGCAAGACCTGAAGGTCATGAGTTCGATCGCCAATCGAGTCGTCATTGGGGTGACCCTAAAAATTCCTCGAATAAAGCTCAAAGTGACAACGAAAATGCTGGGAAACGTCTTATACAACCACCATTCAAAAGTTCCTCAGAAAGATCTAGAAAGTGGAAAACCACGTGTCAGATTTCTGGTTGGATGATTAATGATCCCACATATTCACCATTCGTCAGGTTCTAGAACACAGGCATACTTATCGGCGTCCGATAATGGTGGTCTTTCTTGACTTAAAAGCAGCATTTGACTCCGTAGACCGCGAGATTCTGTGGCAATGTCTGTCATTGAAAGGCGTACCGCAGAAGTACATAAACCTTGTAAAGGCTCTTTACTCGAACACTACTAGTCGAGTCAGGGCTTACGGCGAACTGTCATCTAATTTTGCAACCTCAAGTGGTGTCCGTCAAGGCTGTCCACTTTCTCTATTTTTGTTTAACTTCATCACAGACCTATTGATGGAAATAACATTCTCGTCGACTGAATTCTCGGGTATTGATCTCCATCCAGGAGGTCCACTTATCGACTTAGAATACGCAGATGATATAGTCCTGTTTGGTGAAGACGCTGACAAAATGCAGTCTTCTGGTAGCACTAAACAACAATGCCAGAATGTTTGGAATGCGCTTCTCTCCCTCTAAATGCAAGTTGTTGCTTCAGGACTGGCCTGCGTCAACACTTGAACTAAGGATAGGGAGTGAAGTAGTCGAACGCATTGACAACTTCACTTATCTTGGAAGTCTGATCAGCCTTAATGTGTTGGTTTCTGACGAAATCTCAGCACGGATTTGAAAAGCTCGTTTGGCTTTGCCAACTTACGTCACCTGTGGCGAAGGCGAGATATCCGTCTATCAATAAAAGGACGAGTATACTGCGCGGCAGTCCGTTCTGTTTCACTTTACAGCAGCGAAACATGGCCTTTAAGAGTAGAAGACACCCGTAAGCTACTAGTATTTGACCACAGATGCCTCAGAAATATTGCTGGCACCTGCTGGGATCACCGGTTAAGTAATAGTGAGGTTAGACGCAGGGTATTAGGTAATGATGGTAAATCAGTTGATGAGGTTGTTAATCTTCATCGACTGAGATGGTTGGGCCACGTGTTACGTATGCCTGAACACCGATACCACGACGTGCAATGCTAACCGGTGTTGGAGATGGTTGGAAGAAAGTAAGAAGCAGCCAAACCAAAACGTGACATCAGTGCTTGAAGTCACTAACTTCTAGTCTGAGGCATGTTGGTCGATGCAGACTACTTGGTTGGAGTCTGCGTGACTATCGTAACCAATGGTTGGAGACTCTTGGTGACATGGCTCCGAATCTATCACAATGGCGTAGGTGTATACAATCTTCGTCTTCCCTTAAACTAAGAGATTAAAATCGCTTCATATATTTCTTTCTACGAACTAATTCTTTCTTCCTGTATGTCCTTATACGCAATCTTTCTTTTATATATTACCACCATTGAATTAACTACTTTTATGAATCCGGTGTTCATCTTGTTGTGTTAATGAGGTATGGCAACCTGGACCGATGAACATATGTGCCTGGTCCGACGTTGTAGCTGACTGACTGACTGACTGACGTATCCTGCTTCTATGTTTAGAAAGATTTCACAACTTTCCGAAAGCTCAAGGTCATCTGAGATATTATAAACACCCTAGATTTTCTGTACACAAACTAACCTTCGAGTAAAGCGTTCTTCCCATATTTCGCACCTTTTCGCTCGTGTTCAAGTTATCGTGTAGATTTAGCCTACGGGTTACTAGAAGGGCTTAGGAAATCGACTCAAGAGTTCAACTATCACTTGTGAATGTAGACTCTTGAGCAGTTCCACACTTGAATGAAACAGTTGTTTATCGTTTGCCGGTTTTCAATGATCCTCTTAATAAGATCAGTTCGTGATGTAAACTCCAAAATTCTGCAATCTCGACAAAACCTCAATGTTAATCTAAAACTATATTGTCTTGTTCAATAATCTAACTGTGAGATATATTTAGCATCGGAAAATAATCAAATCCAGTTTTAGAAAAGAGCACAAAATATACACAATCTCATAAATATATAATCACTAATACACCAAATTTCAATTTATAACAACTAAATATGACATGATACTTGCAGAGGTCTTAATATTTTGGTAAAGTTATGCGCAGATTATTTATATAAATCAAACGATATTCTTCTGTTCTTTACTTTGTTTAGTAATCTTTGTGTTTGTGTCTTGAATTCAACTTCGCAACAACAACGTTCTAAGCTTAAAAAGAATGTGTGATAAATTTTTTGTAGAACTGCACAATCCTAGATTCATTCTAATGACAGTAATAGATATGTGACGGTGTAACCATACTCCACCAACGGACCAAAATGAATTTACGACAACGGTTGTTAGACTTCGGCATCGAATTCAAAATGAGTTGACAAATAGCTTATACTTTATTAAAAACCAAGTAAAGTCTTTATCCCAAACCTAAACTTATTGGTTTTTCACGGTAAATGGTTTGTTTATGTTACACACATTCTGACTGGCTAATAACTGTGTGAAATCTCACAAGCTTTTTTTTACAGTCACTTAATTTCGTCCGTATAGTATAATTTTGTCACCTTGTTCATCTGCTGTACATGAAACATCCAAAGTTGAAATTTTAAGAAAACAGATAGAAGTGCTAACCTGGCCATTCATCATCTTGAGTAACATTTAGATTTTTACAGGTTTCATCGGTATCATTAGCATACCGAGTAGATTCATTCGGTATTGTTTGCTTGACAGTTGAGACAAATTCAACTCGTTCATTAAGTTTTCTTCTATGAAATTCAGTTGAATCCAATAACCATACACGATAGTAATACCTTGACCAGAAATCGGCATCACTCATAGATTTATCATTAATTTTACCATCTGGATGAACAAGTTGAGTTAAATATGTTCGCATAAAAGGATATGAATCTAATAATTCTTCAGGACTAGGATGTGGTGCTTGTGTAAGTTCTTCAATTGGAACATTACTATATTCATGACTCTTAGCATTCGCTAACAGGACACCATTCATTGGTTGACAATTATCTTCATCAAAATACGCTGATCTCCAATCATGATATGAATGTATACCAGACGATGCTGGAGGCGTTGGTGGTTCCAATTCATATGTTGCAGGATCTGCTCTAAGTAAATCAAGACGAGTCTGAAGCAAAAAATATATTTAATTAGTTACACAAATAAATTTAATAACAAAAGACAAACACGTGTTTGAAATGGTTAAGATTGATTAAGATTTACAAAAAACGTACAACAATGTACATTCACATGACGTGTAAAATTAACATATATTTTTTTAATGTGGTAAATTATTAACCAAATTTTAGAATAAGATGTTTTAATCAAGCTTAAAATATTGGTTGTGTTAACTTAAAAAATGAATTTACTAAGTCAGTTATGTGTATAAATTTGATACTTAAAACAGATAAATCACTTACTGAATTCTCCGTTATTATTACAATGTAGCACATGTTCTATAAAAATGGAATTTCAATTCAGATGGGACGAGCATATTTCGATTTTTAAATCATATGCAGTAAGATACAAAACTTATTGGGGTGATCATAATGTTGGAGGGATAAGTGCTCAAGAACGGTTAAATAATACCTCTGGATGAATGATTTTTGTTGTGCTGGCCCCTCATTTTACAAACCTTATACTTGACACTGGAAATATACTGAGCACGAGAGGGTTTGGTATTTTGAAAGTCGATATTTTAATTGCTCCTTATAACTGCAGAAAAACAGCATGACTAGAGATTCTGTTTACCTGCGTGAAACACTTTGATATCATCATGCACTGGTACAGTCGCCAATACTTCATTTTCGAAACTGGAGCATTATGTTTTGATTTGATCGTTCTCTAACCAAACTGCCTGGTATGGGAGGAACTTGAACAAGTATCCCAGACAATATAGCTTAAGTCAAACTACATGACCAAATCAACAGCTACAGATAGGTTCAGAAATAGCTTTCATAAATATATCTAAACTGTTGCAGTGTGTGCTACTACTTATATGGACAGAAACTGGAAGTCAGATTCTTACTGACAGAAGAGGGAAATGTAGAAACAAGAAAGAAAAACAAAGGCAGTTAGAGTAGCAACACGAACAGGAAAACGAAGTTTGTAAGAGACAATTCAAGGAAGTTGAGCGAATGGTGAATTTGAAGCATTTTAATAGTTGAGATCATGAGTCGATTGAAGATAGACCACCATGGAAAACCTGGAAGCATTGCACGGTCGTTTCGTCCTATTGTAGGACACCTCAGTGATTATGCACAACACAATTAATTGGATTAACATACCCAAATCTTTATTTATTACAATAGTATCTAAATGACAAAATAAATCTTAAAAAGTTCTATTCTTGATTTTATTTGTTAAAAATGTATCGTTAATTACTGTTGATTGTCAGTACAAGTGAATTTTGAAGGATTGACTAAAATATCCCCTATCAGCCACAAAATGTATGTATCAGTTTTGTATCATGATAATAGTGTTTTTACAATATTCAAACAACAGAATTTCTTCGTAATATTTCCGTTAGAATATAAATTTTATATTGTCATACAATAATCTACGTTTACATTTAAAAAAAATAAAAAATAAACTAGTTAGACACCACGAAAAGTTAACGAAAAATGTAATGCGAAAATTGAATATAAAACTATTAGGAAAATCATACACAAACATCTTACAAATAATCAGGAAAATGGACATGGTTTACCAATTTTTTAGTCAGGAAATACAACAAATGTATGTAGCATGTATAAAAGCACATTAAATTTTATTTTCTGAAGAAGTGGCTTACATTTAGTCACGAGACGTCGGGAAATTTAAAAACCTAATTTTACCACTCATTGGGATATTAAAAATATATTATTTTTGTCAATTAAATTTATGGTTTCAAAATTAGTGATTGTTACGTTCATTACTTAATTAACGCAGAATAAGATATACAAATAACGGCACTCGGACATATAGAACCCCACAGTCTCAAATCAGAAGACAGAAGCAGAAGTGATTGTTCAGTAAGAATCAGAAATGTGCAGGAAATCATAGGTGTTCATAGATATTGGTGCTCGTCATAACATCATTATGATTTCAGCCAATTTACAAGAAGGTAAGTTACGCTACCGTCCAATCGTAGCATGCCACGTTGATATTCTAGAAATCTCCATCAGGTTCTGATCGGATGGAAACTTTTCGACTCTTTAAAGCCTTTGAAAACTCCGTCGTGCTTCTCGGAAGCCGTCTCATCAGTGATTTTATCTGCTTGACCAAATGGAAAAAAGTAGGAGGGGGATTCGGAACTATAATCCACTGATTGACAGTTGAATGATATAACCAATACGCTACCGCTCCAACTGTTGGTTGGAATATCAATAAAATGAGTTGTAATTATGGAATAATAGATATCTAGTTCTGAGTAAATAGTTGGAAAGAATTCCTTTGATATATATATATATATATATATATATATATATATATATATATATATATATATATATATATATATATATATATATGTCAAAACGATAGCACAAAAGATGTACACTGATGATGATAATAATAATAATGATGAAGAACAAGAATAATCAGACAGAGAACAAGGGTTGATGAGAGTTATAAGTGAAACACAAATAGGTAACATTAGAATGAATTATAAACCTAGTGTTACCTATGATGTTTGTACAGAGATAAAATATCATTTGTCTGATGATAAATGCACGGAATGAGCTTATAAGATCAAATGCAAAAGTTTGGAAAAATTTTCAGAAATGTTGATAGGGCTATGTAGATAACGCAATTAAGAAAACAGCTTTTACAAGTCTATTAAGCTCATCTATGTATATCGTTCTACAAAAAAATGAAGCGACGAGTAAGCTGAAGAGTCTGACTTTTTGAACGTCTGAGGAAGTCATGAACAATAAATATGGAGATAGGGCAAGTGTATGCTACATTTGAAGAGATTACGATATCACCTAGAAACAGCGAAACGGAACGAAGTCAGCAACAGAATAACAGAACAAGCTAAGCTATTCCACTGAGCCCCAGCTCTGCTAACTAGAAAGAAGACCAGAATCGGCCCAGAAAAAAAACATAGTTTACGCGCAGCCAGAAGCATAAATTAACGAGCGCACAACTCATGCATATCCATACAGTGCAAAAATGTCATTGAAAAACTTCACAAAATAGCGTACTAAAAGAGGAAACGAACCAATGACATTTAGGGTCCTTCCAAGTGGGTGCTTTTGGAGCGAAAATGAGATACTTCTGGGGACTTAGCAATCCCAACAGTGTATTGCTACAAATAAGGAGCATTTCGAAGGGGATACGCTAATTTCCAGGAGGTAAATTTACTAGGAACTTAGTTCATGTATTTATTGGACAATTTATGAATTACCAACATCTCAATTGATAATAATTATTTTAAAAAGTATGATGACAGGATCAATGCGATTTTATTACTTAGAGCATACTATAGATTCTGGATCGAAATTACATAAGATCAGACAAATTTTGGAACAGTAAAAACTATAAAAATTTGGGATTAAACTTGTAAACAACAAGTGACTTTAATTTTGTTGACACATAACTATACACTGAGTCTATTCATAAGTTTTAAACTACTACTCTTCAATTTGCAAACAAAGTAAATACTTACTAGTAACTCAATCGTTGATAGTCTAGTATGCAAACCATTGGACCGTAAAACTAATAGACATGCTATGGTAGGATAAGCATTTGAAGCTATTTTGCAGTTTACATTAGCTAAACAACCATTGAATACCAGAAAAAAATCAAACAGCTGCTTTGTCACAGTATAGGACTTCCTGGCAGTATGCATTTCGGACCCTACCACAAATCTCGAGCCCAGAAACTTCAGGCATCAAATCAAGAGCCCAAACTTCAGACATCCAGTGGTTCACGCTTCTAACCCTAATCAATCTACAGTACTGCGCGACCATCTTTCGATGCCACTAGTAAGTGACTGTCTTACACCTGATACGACCGAACTTCATTAATCATGGCTTCTAATTTAAACTTTGAGGATCATCTAGCTTCAATTGTTATCTAACTAAGATTAGTTGGTGATGTAAACGGGGAAGACAAGTTGGTCAATTCCCAAAAACCGTGCATACTAATTCGAAAATCTATACATCTGAGTTTTAACTACAACAATTATAGTTATTTCACTGGTTGAAATCATGAGTCATTTGAAGCTAGACCACCATGGAAAACCTGGAAGCACTGGACGGCCGTTTCGTCCTGGTATGGGACTCCTCAGCAGTTAAACAATAACTATAATAAACTAGATCCTCTCAACACTGTGTTTTTGAACAAAATAAAAACAACATACTTGGTGTTTACTTTTATCTTTACACTGATTTTCTCCAGTTATTAAACCGAAATACGTGCCAGTCGACATTATACCGTTATATAAAGAATCGACCAACTGGGATACATCTTGTTTAATGTTTGTGAAGCTAGGCAATGCCGGTGGTAAGGCTGTTAAGTCTAAAAAAGAAAAGATGAAAATAATTAACACATAGAACAGTGGAAAAATATGTAGTAATGATACTCGATAATTTTTGTTTGATTATATTTCCTTGAAAAATCTTGGATCAGATTGCCGAGCGAAACGTTAAATTTACTTCAAATTCATTTGCTGAGATTTCACAAATACATTTTTTCTATTTAATGTCTTACATCAACTCGGTGCCCAAATACTGTGAAAATATTCCTTCAAATTTAGACGAAAATTCTCACATGACAGCATATTTATTGATAGATCGATGAGTGAAAAAACTACCTTAAAAATTGAGACAAATATTTAAGACTCATTTATCTGTGAAGATGAAATTAGTGTCACTTACTCATAAACGATTGCTTTAACTACTTTCTACTCAGCTTTAATGTCGTAGAGATGGTTACTATTGATTAACAAAGTATAACTATGAACAGACAGATATCTCATTGCAGAGCCTTTCGCGAACGTTGAGAACAACAGTAAAACATGAAGAGGAAATCCAAAAGAATGAGAAGACATTAGAATATGCATGAAAGCGGGTCAATATTTAAGAAAAGAATAATTAGCAGTAGTTATAAGATGTTTAAGACCGATTTTGACCCATTTAATCATTCAGGGGTATATCACTAAATCCAACTGTCTTTACAAACACAACTTGAGTGTTAGTACAAACTAGAGATTACTGAATTCATGGACTGGAACTGTTCTGATCTCTTGCTTTCAAATATGACCGTAATTCAATTAGTATTAAGCATAAAGAAAGATAGGACATTTGTATTTAGTTATGACTGTTTTCCTAAACAAAGATTTTCTTAACTTGCTACTCTGGAATTTTTAGACCGCGTATGACAAGTTAAATTTAACTCCCCAAAATCTTACCTATACGATTTTTTACTGTATTATAATCTAGAGATAAGACAAATAGATTCTTTACAGTTTACTCATTGTTATTATAATTTAGTCTTGCAAGTATTTGATGGTTCTAAATAAAAATTTATATTTGTTTACTCGGGTATACTTCCTCAACTTATCAATATAACCGAACTAATTTGTATTGAATGGTAGTAATCCAGTTGAAATTATAAGTAAAAGAAATAATTTATTACCACTAAAATATCTGAGCAGTAATTAACAACTTTATCATATTATTTAAAAAGAAATGGTCGTGATCTTCACTATTTTATTTATTGTATATTGATCAGATAGTCAGTTTTACAGTCTTATAGAAAGTGTAATTCATCTTCTTTGACCGTGAGTTGTTTTTATATCTAGGATGAAGTACAGTGGATATTGATACAGTAACTGGAAACTTATTATTAAGTCCTTGTCAACCGTATATACACAAGTATAGAATCAGATAATTGTATAATTATTGTTTTACTGAGAAAAAGACCAGTATATTTTAGTTCCCGTGAATATAACTTAACTAAAAATATAATCTAGCAAAAATTACGATATCATTATTTGTTAGGTCAATGTTCATCATTAATTTCACTACTCATTAACGACTGAATATTGTAGAAATTTCACCGCTCCAAACATGAGTTTTGAAGAGACAATTTTGCTCGATTTCAAACTGTTTTGGTCTTGTTTTGTCTTTTGTTTTGAACGCTGTTTACAAAATAGCTTGCATAGGTGGGTGTGATCAAAGCTTTCAACTTTTAGCTAGTGGGTAATGGGTTCTAAACCCGCTCCACCTACTCCAATTTGAAGTACCAAGTAACAATGCCAGACTTCTCTCTTTAAAATATGACTCAAAGACAAGTGCACTAAACTATACATAATAAGTGACTTGGGAAAAACAAGATCACTCCAGTTTGTAACCGAATATCGACCGACCATATAGAACTTAATATTCTACTCTCGTTACTAAAAATGCTATTATTCTCTAGCCAGGAATTCGATGAAAAATATCAATCTACTGAAAATAGTTCGTTGTAACAAAACTACTTATATCAATTTAATAATTATTACGATGACAATCAAAAAAGTACAAGTATTTATAAACAATTGTCTACGCAAGATACTTAATGTCCTTTGGTCAGATAGAATCAGCAACAGCCTATTGCAGAAGTAAAAAAACAGCTCACAACTGAATAGAAGATTAGGAAAAGGCGCTAAAAGTTGGTAAGACATACATTGACGGGAATCATCAAAATGCATCACTAGGCAAGCCCCAACTTGGAATCCTGAAGGGAAACGGAAAAGAGAAAAACCGAAGAACACTCTGAGGCGAAAATTAGAAGCAGACATCAAAAAGATGAATAGAAACTGGAAAGGATTGTCCAGGACAAAGTTGGATGGAGAATGCCAGTGGGCGGCATATGCTTTTCCACGAGGGGTAACAGTTGTAAATAAGTACGATGACGTTCAAACTGCTGATTGCAAATTAAAACATATCAGCCAGTAAATAAACCCCAAAACTTTGTACTTCAGTATAAATATCTTACCTTGAACATTCTATAACTCTACACTGAGTTTAGAATCAGCGTACACAAAAATAATTATCGTTTGGTACATTAGGATCAGTTATATTCTTCACAACATATTAAAAATACTACAATTAATTATTACAAGAATCAACCACACAAAGATCAATTTCAGAATAATCATATAAAGCTCTACTTTTACCATCATTAACGATATTTTCCGTCTTTGTAAACTGTTGATCAGTTTCCGATTCATTATCCGGCAACAGAAATTCATTAGGATTTAGGTTCTTTACTGTATTTGCAGCAGCTGTGATACGATCACGAACTGAAAAAGCAGTACGATATACAACATCTTTTGGTTCAGAGACAGAATGAACAACTTCATTAAAATCCTTTTTAATCTGTTCCCAAACCTTAAATAAAAACAATATAAGGAAAGATAAGGAGATCAGTGACTTCATCGTAATTATTATTGCAGAGTTGGTCGAACAAATTCATACAGAACAATTATCTTATTTATTCAATTAATTTGCCAGGTACAGATTTGTTGGAGATATGAAACCCTCGAACACAAATGAAATAATGGCAAGTGTAGTATAAATTCATTATTCGCACCATCCTCCGTGCATATAACAACGTCTAATGTTGAAGAACATGTTGAAATGTTGGATAAACAAAGCTCAATTTTATAAGTAATAAGTAAAGTGAATTTTTCCTGCTTTTAATTTCTTAACAACCAAAGGTAAATTCTAACATTTATGAAGGGCAACTATCCATGTCTTCATTGTAACAAATTCTAAAATTTGAACATTGTGGCAGTGTATAAAAGCATAAAACTTTATTTGATACATGTGTCAACCCGATAGGACCTAAAACAATCAATTGAGCGCAGAAACATTAATTCACAAATAAAATCATATCGAGTGAAATATCTATAGTAAAATAAAGAGAATCAGTAGAATAAAGCTTGTGATATAGGAGTGTTTGTTTTACACCGTCAAGCACGGTATAAACTGATAGTTTATTGGGATTTGAAGAATTATTCAACAAAATTTAGTAAGTAGAACCACCAGACAGAGAGGATTCTATATTGTCCCATTAAAAAGACAAGGTTATTGGCTCGTGATTTATGCTGTCTTCACTATTAATCATTGTCAGCCATGTGAGGGCTATGATTATTCCTCAAGTGTCGAGAAGGCTGGCAGTCTGCTATGGAAAAACCCTCACCCGAGCTCTTGATAAAAAGGCCTAGTTCGCAAGGAAGTGGAGTAGTGTTAGGGGACTCAATTTCATGGTGATCAGAGAAAGTTTATATGGTATTTGTCTCCTCAGGATTTTTGACCCCATTTGTACCACCGGTTGGAAATCAGTGTCTGCCTACTTTGCGCCCTTCATATCTACCAAACCCAATCTAATAGTACTTTTTACGTGAGGATAATACAACGCGAAAGCGATGAGCAGAACCTATCTGAAAAAGGCTATAAACGTATGATCGTATGAAAGGGTTTTGAAAAGGAGAGTGGACGCTCAGCTGAAACTAGGGTTCTTGGAGTGAGCAACCATAAAAATTTGGCTACAATCTATTTTGTGAGCATAGACATTGTTCTATGATCTAGATTTCATTGGCTGTATGGTGAACGAATAATCAGATAGCGATAACTAATTTATTGTTTGATGCACAAACATAAATTGGTTTAGTGAAATGTGAAACTCGTACATCAAAAACATCGCTTGCATATCTTTGAATTGTCGCTTGCAAGCTTCATTATTTCTTCATTTCTATTTTTTATCTTTATTCTTTTTAGTTCCCTTCCCTCTTTTATCCATTTAAATGTCCTCAACCTTCTGCTGGCAGACATTCCACTTCCCACTAGTGTTACACACTGTTTATATCTGCATAAGTAGTATACTCCACAGTTATAGTGGGACTAAAACCTGTGACCCAGTTGTTGAAAGTCATATGGTACAAAGACTAAGTTAAAACTCCAAGCACATACATGCATTCGTTCAAGTTCCTACACAACATTAAGACAGCGATATAAAGTTATAATGACAAATTCACAGGATAGCAGAATTAGTAACAGTATCAGTAATGGCAGAAAAGATTAGATGTGGGAAAAAGGGAACTTTGAAATTCAGAGACTAACGGATTCTGTGCTGTATTGCACAGCCTATAACTATTGATTATGACAGTCATATGGACTTCAACAAGATAATCTGCACCCGTATGGATGGTTCAGTCTAATATCTAACGACTCTATAGACTAATGCTGCGTTTCAGTTTGACCGCCCCCTAACTTTCTTTAAACCTACTCCTACATTGGACAACATCGCTTATCGATGTGAACCATAACTGCGGATACGTAATACATGTCCCAACTACTCCCCAGCTAATGAAGATTTACGACCTGATTAGTCAACTTGCCATCATTACCTAGTACCCGATGTCCCAAAATACACAAAGAGTGCTTCAAAGGTATCCAAGATTGAACACTAGGAACCTATGAGTACCCTTTATTTTTAATAGTTATGCTTAACATCAATGAAGTAGAACAGATCGAATTGCTGAGCAGCAAGCTCGTCCTCTGGTTGGTAGACGAGTATCTCACCTACGCCACAAGTGATACCAGTTGACAAAAACCAGCCACACTTCCTGAATCCACACCGAGATTTCTCCAGACACCAACTTACCAGAGCTGTTGAGACATCCTAGATAAGTGAAATGGTCGATATGCTCAGCTAATTCGCTCCTCATCATTGATCAAGGCGTTGACATAGGCCAGTTCTGAAACAACGTTTTGCATTTGTACAGAGAACGCATCCCCAACATGCTTGCTTCGTTTCTTAAGGAGATCAGAAGGCTGAGTTTTTTTCAGCGTCCCTACCAAACAGATGTAACATTTGCGTTTTCTAGATCAACAACTGAGTCTCCTAGTGGAAGACCAACCCCTGAAAAGTCAGACGGTGAGAGCATTATCTTCAAAATGACGTCTATGACAAAGTTGAGTAGAAGTGGAGAAAAGTGAATAACACTGACGATCACCACTCGAGGTCGGCAATGCTGATGACAGTCAAGAAGCTCTGATTCAACCAGTATTGTTTGGGTGGGAAGTCTGTACAAGGTCGGTCTATCTCTTTAGTACATCTTTTAACTTAAGACTGTCATAGAACCTCTCAGTCAATGGAAATGAACCCCGACTTAAGGTTAAAGTATACAACTATAGTCGGGGCTTTATATTATTTATTTGAACACATAAGTATTGGTAGAAAGGGGCACCGAATACATATGCGCCACACAAGTCATTTGATTTGTGGGATGGTAAGTATGTTTGTATTTTATTTATTTATTTTAACACAGATATTGGCACAAGGAGGTACCAAATACATATGCACCACACAAATCTCATTCGATATGTGTGAGGGGTGTGATACTGCCCGGATGCCTAAACCGAAGCAGGTGGTTTATTAGAGGGCCATTCCCCGAGCTTTCGACCTGAAGGTCTGATCCACAAGGCAGTGGAGCATCGTAAGGAGATGCAGTCCCATGGTAACCGGTGACCAACAATTGGTTTATACGCCATTTGTTCCCTTAGGATCCTGGAGCCCATGTGCACCATTGGTTTGGAATCACGGTTTTCCAACTCCCCTAGGTGGACTCACCGTGTCCACCGGCCCGGTTAAAGCGCCGGACATTCGCTTTTCGTCCTCTAATTTTCGTAAACAACACCCGTGGTAAGAAAAGGCAGTGGGGTAGGACTTCCCTGGCAGTGGTTGAATGCACGAGGCTATGTGAGAGCATTTCGAAAGGGCGAGCGGACTCTCCTCACTCTCGGTCGTACCAGGGCTTTTGGGGGCATGTTTGTATATTGAATATTTGGTTGGAAGTCAGTTGAACTATTCCCTAAAATGTTTCATCCATCGATCGAATCCCCTGGACCGAGAATAAATAACAGTCCTCCATTTTCCGAAATCGTCTCAATAAGAGAGGGATTTTAACACCCATTTCCTTGATGAGCCTAATTATTGATCCATGGTTACCGATTGATGTTGCCTTTTCCATTTCTTGGTTTTACTGGCCACCACTGCTCACGATCATTGTGCGGGCTTTTGTTAGCCTATTTTTAAGTTTCCTTCACTCTATAGTGTTTAGAGCCCGATGGAATGAGTTTCAGAGCATCTATCGATGCTACAAAAATCCAGTGATATTACTTAACCTTTTGGTTCAGGTTACTGATAAATCGCACTGCTGTTTTCATTGCTATTTGTATATCACGCTAAGCTACCCCACGGTGGACATCACTTTCATGATTAATCAATTACTTCTCTAGTTGTTCCTGAAATACATTTTTGACTTTTTCATCGTTAAGATGTGGCTTTCCTACATCCAGTAAGAATCAGGCACCAAAGAATGTTCAAAGTCTAAACATATATTCTTTTTTTATTGCGACTCTCCCACGATGACTGATGGCAATATGGTCTATTTATATCTAACGTTGAGCCGATTTCAGGGGACACTATGTTGGACAATATCATTCTTTATGCTTAAAGTTGGTGTTTGCTATAGATAGATGGATGGAAATCCATACATAGAAAGTACAGTTCAAAAGGAACAATTGCAATCGATGGATGGAAAATCGGAAGTGACATTTATTCTAAAATTTAAAGGAAGACAAAAAACAGAGTAATTATGAGCCACTGAGATTAATTTTGCGCCATATCATCCATCTTCGACCGTCAAGAGCTTCGGCTGGAAAAAGTAATCCATAGAACTAAGCAATTTGAGTAATTGAGTTCATCAATAACCATACATGAGGGATGGAGGGCGAAAATTTCAGCACACTGATGCTACCTCTTAAAAATATTTCTAGCTGAGAAAACGACTATGATAGAAAAAGCAAATCTACTACTCACATAATAAAATTAAGATGACAGTGACTGATGCTTTTGGAAAAGTGAGAAATATTCATAGCTCAAGCAAAAGGGTTTTCCAACAGCATTTGCAGAAGGTCAGGGTCTTTTGAATGTTAGGTATGGGTTTAATAAATCAAAGACAGCGCTCGCTGTACGGTTGGATTTATTTGAGAAATACTGAGAAATTAACTATTTCTCGGAGAAATAAGTCCACATTTAAAACCAATGGCATTTTTTAATCATCTTCAATAACATCACTAGTATTCGTCACTATTTTAACTGGTACCGATTATGGATAAGTAGGCATTTAGTTATTGTTGGTGAAATTCTTTTCAAAAAATTCAATGCACGCAAAAACAAAAGTGTATGTTTTACGGTCTACGCTATTATATTTCCCCTCTGTGGTAAACGATGTGGAATCCACCATTCCACAATCCATATGACGTTACAGTTACACCGCCTCCATATATAATCACACATAAACATTGTAATTTGCTAATCTTAACTGTGTGTTTACTTGGTTCATGACTATCAATGTGAATTCCCTGTCATAAATGCTGTACTTTGAATTGATGTCTTCTGGTTAGACATTACATTTCTTTGAATTGACATACGCTTATACTACTCATTGTAAACTCAACCACAAAAGTTCTGTTAGTTTATCGATCGTATCTGTACAACTAATAAACCTGTTAATATTGTTGGTCGACTTATATCAACCGGATCATGACCGTATACTGGTGTGAACTGTGGTCGATTCCACAAAACTTTTGAGCTTATAATTACAATATTTGTAATACAGAATTAATATTCACAAATTAAGGGTGGTCAAGTGAGAAATATTTCAGGAAGGAATAAACGTCTATGTTTGTACACAAGAATGAGTATTATTGATAACTTTACCATATATCTCTGATTTTTATAAACTTACATGGGAAGTTTTGACTGAAAATTTATCCGTCCAATCACAATTTATATCATGCGTTATCAATTTGTTATCTTCTTGTGATTTAGACACTTCAGGTCTTAATGAAATAGAATTAGATTGGAATAAGTATGAAATAGTCCAACATACACTTCAATTTTCGAAATATCTTCGGTTATAACTAATGATTTTTCAGATTCCTGATCAGCTTGTTTTTCATTATCATCATTTGGATTTCTAGTGCGAAAAGAAATACTAGGTAAAAATATAACTTACATCCCCATAGATGCAAGCGAGTCCATATAGAACAACATGGAGTTCTAAAATGCGTGAAAAATGACAGGATAAAACCATATATTCATTATTTAACAATTGTAGAAATAGACAAATTGAAAAGTGGTTGGATTAAACAACAAATATACATCATTCTCATTAGAAATAGAAAACGTTTTAGTTAACCTAATACCAGATAACCACATACTTAAAATTCTAATAAGAAACTATTTTTACTAAAAGTATCCCTCAGACCAGCATAGACATTGCAAAAGCTGAAAGTATACCAGTTTCAGTCACCAAACTTTTATTTAAACACATAAATATTGATACAAAGTAACACCAAAATACTTATGCGACACAGTAAAAATGAAATTGTGAAGAGATAGAGGAAGGTATGCATAATAAGAAAAAAAGAATGATTATGTGAGTGACAATAATAATAGTAATAATAACGATGGGAGTAGTTCAGTTAAACGAAATACAACCAGAATGGATCCTCCAAGTTAAACAAGTTCCTCTCATTCATATAGACAAAGTAGAAGAAATTTACAGCTGGACTAACACTGGCTTCTATTCAGAGACATTTCTGATAACGTCTCAAGCCACTGTGTTGCACCATCTCTAGGACCCCAAACAGGAAGTCTTGAAAGGTCAACGGAAACCAGTCCTGTATAGCTTTTCATCACACCACGGCACCATGTCATGCACTGACCACGTCTCTGCCTTTCCCAACCAACCTCAGCATTGGCAAGCAATGCACGACATGGGATTCTCTGGGACGACATTCGTAGGACATGTCCAAGCCAACATGTTTAAGTCAGTGTTTCGAGATAGTGACACCAACTGAATTATCGTCGCTGTGTCAAACACACGTTGGCGAACCTCCGCACCACTAACATGGTTTTGGCACTGAATATCAACAATCCGTCATAGACGATGATGATCAAGCACAGAGGGTCGTCTAACATCCTCAACTCAGAGAGGCTAGGTTAACATCACGAAGGCGCCGAAAACTGCCCAGATCAGTATAGGCCACCTTAGCTTTCACTATACGTGAATTGATTTCATCACTCACGCCGCCACCAGCACTTACACAGATATCTAGATACATGGAAATGCTTGACTACTCCTAACTGGTTTTTACTAGGAGTGAGTACAGGTTACGATTCCTGCCTCTCATCAAGGGCGTCCAGGTTCCACTCCCAGAGTGGAAGCCAGCCCCCAAATACCCTGTTACGGCATGTACACGTATATAGCCGCTGTCAGGGAAGTTTTAATCATTGCCTTCTCGCCGTGGGGGTGTTGTTTACGAAATCGAGAGGACGAAAAGCGGATACCCGACGCTTAAACCTGGTTGGTGGGTTCGGATGATCCACCTAGAGGATTTGGAAAAACCTTACTCCAAACCATAGTTCATTTGGGCTCCAAGATCCTGAGGGGGGAAATGAAGTATTAACCTATTCTTGGTCACCAGCTACCATGGGACTACATCCCCTAACGTTGCCCCACTTGATTTTGGACTAGACCTACACGTTAAAGGCTTCGGGAGCGTTCCTTTAAGAAAACCGCCTGCTTTGGTTTGAGCATCCAAGTAGTAACCTAGCCCACACAAATCAAGTGATGATCAGAACTGTCAGGCTTACTAAACAACACATGCTGAGTCGACAAAATGGAATGTTAATAACACCGGGAAAATACAACACTAGAAAATAACGACCCAAAATCATGAGCTGTCTAGTCGTTAACCTAGGTTAGTCATGAATCACCATTTTAAACACTTGTTCACCTGATTTGTAGTTGTAAACAGAAAACCTTTACTTACTCTCTTTATGTGGTTTCCCACAAAAGGGAAAGAGATTGTAGACTAAACTATTTGACTAAATAATTAAGTACCATCAATTTTCCTTGAACTGTCAAATCCCGACTTTTTAACTGAACAACAGCATCTAAACTCAACCTTCTTTGACTACTAAATATAGGTCAGTCATAAGTAAAGTAGAATATGGCACATATGTGCATCGATTTAGACTGTCACACCATTTCAACACAGAGATGACATTATCAAGGCAAATGCTATAGTAGAAATAGTAACAGCTTCAGCGGTAGTGGAAAAGATTAGACATAAACACTGTGATTCTGACAAAAATGAGACTTGATACCTAAAGGAAATGATAGTTTCTGGGCCATTGTAACCGAATCTCGATCATATCCTCTTGTATTTTCATCCGCTGGTTACGATAATTGCGATTTCACAATCTAGTGCCTAAATACATAGCTCAATACAACACCATATTACGAGGGAGAAACTCCCGAAACTTTTAAACCAAAGGTTTGGATGCTCTGTGAATTTAATATTTCAGCAGCGTCAAAGTCCGTAGAACAATTACGATAACATGAAAGACCAGGGTTAAGAAGCAATCACGTGGCTTTTTTGAGATCTAACTAAAATGCAATTCATTTATTAAATCTCCCAAGAAATTTACATAGTTTTTTGCCTCTCCATTTTCGCCAACTTCATTTTGTAGTTGATCATTGAATTTCTGTTCACTTATATCGTTTAAAGTTACTAAAAAGATACTTTCAAGAAACATTCATGTAATTTTAAGACCCATTCAGCTATTCCAGGAACATGTATGGGACTTGAACTTGTTCCATTCATATTTTGCATTTTAACATAGATCAGACAAAGAAAAGCTTTAGCTGAGTTTCTGAAAACTTTATACACTCGAATTCAACATCCCGGTGACAAACTACAAAAAGTTGATTATTGACTCAAAGTATTTACCTTGCGCCCATATAGGGAGTGTGACATAGATAATCTGCTTCAATCGTGTGAACATAGCACTCCGTAAAGGAGTTTTTAATAACGGTTGTTTGTACTATTGAACTGAAATACTCATGTAGAGTAAGAATTTGGAGAGAAAAATAACGTTTACATCTGCCTACGGTCCCACGTGTTGCAAATTAGTCGTAGTCGAATATCATTTATGTTAACTTGGTAATCTCAACCAGATATGTTTCCAGGATAATGTAGCATCAGTGGGTGACGGTTAAGTGTCTGAATACGGAGGAACGCTATCTAGATGACTGATTCGAACTTCGCACTTTAATGTTAGATTACAAAGACTGGAACATGTCCGTGTTGTAATATACAAAACTAAACGGAGCACACTTGGATCAGTATGATATTACTTACTTAGAATGGTAAAACGTTTTTTTAATAAGATTGCTTTGCGATAACATAAATTTGCTTTAACAGGCAACTGTGAAATATGTAAAACAAAGCTTAATAAGGTTTCTTCGTTATTTTTGTTCCTTTATAGACACCCTTATAAACACACACCAAGCAACCAAGCGGGGTACATATTACGACTTACAATCAATATTATCCAACTAATTTATGTTGACAATATTATGATAAGTTCTGGCAGGTATCTTACGTTACTCTGCATGAACATTAATGGGGAACTCATCCACGTTTTTAATAACGGAATCTAGGATCGTTCGTATTCTGCCTCGAATATGAGCTTGACAGACTATTCTTATCAGAAGTTGTAAGTGTAACTTCCTTGAACAGTTTATCCAGATTACCAGACTTCAGCCTGGTTCACTAAAAACTGTCTGAAGTACTACTAAATTTTGTTGCAAAGTTAAGTACTTGACGTATTGTGACCCATCATCCTAAAATGATGAGAATTTTAGTATTTTTCAAAAAACAGAATCCGAGGAATAATCTATCCGTTAATTCTACTTGAAAAAAAATCTAAAGCTTTCCAAAACTACTGCTGAAATACAAACAAGCTTGAATCTAAGAAAACTCCTGCTTCGGTTTGGGTACTCGGGCAGTATCCCAGCTTTCACACAAATCGAATGATGTGGAGCATATCTATTTGGTGCCTCCTTTTACCAATGTTTGTGTTTAAATAAATAATAAACTAAGAAAACTAGTCAAGATACTAGCAGGTTGCTTATTCATTTATGAAAAAGAGTTAGAAGAGAATTCTCACCTCACCATTGGCTGCTATTAAATTTGTAATCCAACTGAGTACACTACTTGATTCTGAATTGTCAACACTCTGTGAGTTGGGCACAGAATTAAGTGTTCGTGGTCTATTGGAACTACCGTTATCCCTGAGTAGTTGGCATAATAACATCGACACTTACTGATCTTTACATCCTTCCCCAAGAACTTCCGGAGTATCACCAGAAGTTAGATTTTCGTCTGAACCAGCTGGTTCAGTTAGATTGCTAAAAATGCATAAACATGAGGACTACATTTTCATAGTTTACTTCACTAGGTCTACAACACCTTTGAGATATCCTTTTAACATGTTCTGATGTATTTTAGCTAGTCTTTCAGTACAAATTAAACTGGACCAATAGACTAACGATGTTAGACAGAGATCTCCTTTAAACAGTAAAATATTAGTGCGCGTTTCAAAAAAGCGGGAATTCACTACTTATTATGCTTTAACTTTGCTCTTGTTCATTTATTAGATCAAAGGTGAAATTATACTACTTTTACTTGAATTATTTCAGTTGACGTTCAGAATTTTCTCCACGTCCGTCTTGTTGAACTCTGTTCTTTATTCGGTTCTGACATCAGCGATTAGATTGAATATTTTTGTCGATTTTTTAACCCTTTCAATATATTCACAATGGTGAAAAGCATGCAGCGACCTACTTTTATCAAGAGAACGCGATTGGTCTAATGGAAACAATTTTTATTATAGCCAATTGCACCAGGGATTGTTTTACCGTACTTGTTTGTTTAACTGTACCAAAACACATACCTTCTTTCTGTGACCTTGCATGAATCCAGTTATGCTCAGTAACCACAACTGTAACGTGGCATGATCTCGGTATTCTTTCGATAGCACGAGAACGCCAACAAATACATCTGGACTACAGACATCAACTGCCTTCTGATATTTGGCTTACGGAGTGTAGCGGTAAATAAATCCCCAAACTAAATAGCTCTGTAAGTTTTCGACATTGGATGCTGACCATATGTTTTAGTGGACTCATCTAGCTGAAGGCGCTCGGTCATGCATCCGCACCAGATCACGTGTGGTAACGCTGTGCTCAACATCTACCACAATCGCTAGCCAGATTAGATCAGAGAATTCCGATATATTGGTTATCGCCAAATACACTCTTCCGATTTCCTCGACTCTGTCTTTTGATTTCTCTCGGTGGGAAAAAAGTATATTAGAAGGTGTTACTGGTAGAAGCGTTGTCAAACACTGAAAACCTATATCATCCTCATTGTTGAGACCGACGTGATGTGGTACAACTCATTACAACTGTCTTTTCAAAATATCGACTTGGTTAAAGCTTATAACCAAATTCCCATGGCCACTGACGACATACCGAAAACAGCTATCATCACTCCCTTCGGACTCTATGAATTTTTGCGAATGCCTTTCGGTCTAAGAAACGCTGCGCAAACATTCCAGAGATTCAAATACGACGTTTTTCGAGGTCTCAACTTCGTAAATGCGTATGTTGATGACTACCTAATCGCAAGTCCGGACAGACAATCACATCTCAAACATCTGGATCTTGTTTTCGAACGATTACAAAAACATGGCATTACTGTAAACTTTCAGAAATGCCAAATCTGGACCGACTCGTTAGACTTCCTAGAACACACTATCGATGCTCAAAGCATTCGACCTCTTAGGACCAAAGTGGTGGCCATTCTGGATTAACCAGAACCGACCAACGTCAAGCAACTACGCATGTTTAACGGCCTGGTAAGTTTCTATAGACGCTTCATACCGAAATGCGCGTTACTTATGAAACCTCTTACCGACCAACTTCGTGGAAATGTGAAATCCATTAATTTGAACGACACCGCACGAAAAGCATTCTCCACAATTAAGAAACTGATCGCTAAAGTAACAATGCTCTCACATCAAGACACCGAAGCACCCATTAGTATCGCAGTAGACACATCCGACTCAACAATCGGAGGAGTCTTACAACAATGGGTTAACAACTCCTGGCAACCTTTGGCATTGTCTCTAGACGGTTGCTAGACACCGAATCGAGGTACAGCACATTCGGTAATGAACTCCTAGCTATATATTGTGCTATACGGCATTTCCAACACTATATCGAACGTCGTGAATTCACTCTTTTCACGGACCATAAACCACTCACTTTCTCGTTAAGATCTCCTTCTGACAAGTACTCTCCCCGTGAGTCTCGACAACTGGACTACATTTCGCAGTTTACTTCAGATATTCAACATATTTCTGGAGCAAACGATCTAGTTGCAGACGCCTTGTCTCGAATAAATTCCTTGAACACTTTCCAAGGAATCGACCTTCTAAAACTCACCGAGCTTCAAAAAGAAGACACTGATCTTCAGCCCGAGTTATCGTCCACGGCCGTTAATTTACGCATCAAACAGATGGGAACTGGTAAGGAAACCTTACTTTGTGACACATCTACAGGTAGGGATCGCCCAATCGTCCCGAAACATTATCGACGCAATATCTTCAACACATTGCACAAACTTTCTCATCCAGGTGTTCATGCAACCATCAAGCTCATAGCAGAACGGTTTTGCTGGCCTGGTATGAGTGAAGACGTGAGGGAGTGGGCACGCTCCTGTGTAAGCTGCCAAAAATCTAAGGTCATCAGACACAATAAATGTCCCTTAGGCTCATTTAAAACTCTCGATGCTCGTTTCGACCATGTTCATCTGGATTTGGTAGGACCTTTACCAGATTTAAATGGATACTCTTACCTCTTAACCTGTGTAGATCGTTTCACTCGATGGCCAGAAGCAGTACCTATCAAGGACATCACTGCTGAAACCGTGGCCCGAACCTTCGTCGAACGATGGGTAGCAACCTTCGGTTGCCCTTCAACCATCACTACAGACCACGGACGTCAGTTTGAGTCTGAACTTTTCCGTCGTCTGACCACACTATTAGGAAGCACTCGCTTCCGAACGACCGCCTACCACCCACAAGCAAACGGGTTGGTAGAACGCTTTCACCGACAACTAAAAGCTTCACTATCAGCTGCAGACGTTTCACAGTGGACCGACGCTCTTCCACTCGTCTTACTAGGTATCCGCAATGCAGTGAAAGCTGACATTGGATACAATGCTCAACTCGTTTATGGAACGACACTCCGACTTCCAGGAGAATTCGTGGATCCTTCATCCTCTTCAATGAACATGGATCTAACCTCCTACACGGACGGGCTTACAAACGCAATGCGTTCAGTTAAACCTGATTCCACACGACCACAATCAACCGATGTTTTCGTCCAACCTGACTTATGATATAGTACACACGTTTTCGTTCGTCGAGACGCACATCGACGACCATTCAAATCAGCATACGAAGGACCTTTCAAAGTTTTTCAACACGAATCTAAGTACTATATAGTCGATAAGAACGGAACAAACGATAGCATCAACATCGATCGCTTAAAAGCAGCGTATTTAGAAGGAAATCCTATCTACGTCGACTTTCCTTCGGTACAATCGCACAACACTACTCCTACACTCATAATTCCTCAACCGACAACCAACTCTATCGATGACATTCCGAATGTGTCTGAAAATAAACTTAAAACGACACGTTCTGGAAGAAGAGTAAGATTTCCAGAACATTTAAACGACTATTGCACGAAAAGCATTTATATTATCTCGATCTTTCTTTTTACGATATATATACATTTTTTTAAGAAAAAAACGATTCTAATATGCGCATATACTTATATTTTTATAAAAAAATATTTTCTTAACGCTATTACGTGTACTTGATTTTACTTTCCTTTTTTTCGCCGACATTTCGTTTTTACGTACATACGAGTGTATTTCGACATGCACTTACATTTTCTATTTCTTTTCCAGGACGGCTGGAAAAGAGCGATGACGTTTATGAGGAGTCGAAATTTTTATTGTAACTTTCCTTTTTTTACTATGTTGTACCTCGGTCCCATATAGTAAGGAAAGACGACCAGACGCTGCTAAATTTAGTAAGCTATCAGAAGAGTGTTTACCAACGACAAACTCGTTGGGTTTAAACTTCTGGCTGGCCACATCCTAGGGTTATCACTACCCCACTAGGGGTGGAGTGATCTGTAGCGGTAAATAAATCCCCAAACTAAATAGCTCTGTAGGTTTTCGACATTGGATGCTGACCATATGTTTTAGTGGACTCATCTAGCTGAAGGCGCTCGGTCATGCATCCGCACCAGATCACGTGTGGTAACGCTGTGCTCAACATCTACCACAATCGCTAGCCAGATTAGATCAGAGAATTCCGATATATTGGTTATCGCCAAATACACTCTTCCGATTTCCTCGACTCTGTCTTTTGATTTCTCTCGGTGGGAAAAAAGTATATTAGAAGGTGTTACTGGTAGAAGCGTTGTCAAACACTGAAAACCTATATCATCCTCATTGTTGAGACCGACGTGATAATAATAATAATAATAATAATAATAATATATTTCTGCATCAGCAGGTACACACCATTTTTACAGGCATGATCTATAAATTACAACATTTGTTGGTTCACAAAATGTTTGCCAACTTATTAAGTTTATAGTTGTTATAAAGTGAAATCGTAGAGCGCTTGCTGTAAACTATGACCTTGAGAGGACGCGTACATCAAGTTTGTTCCAAACGTCATAAGTTTCATAGCCGTGCTCTCAGAGCAAGATTCTGAAGAAAAAAAAGAAGAAAAAAAGAGAAACAGAAGAGCAGCAAGGCACTTGGATATGAACGCAAAACGTTGCTTAACATAGTGTAGTAGGTATAATAAATTAGAATAAATTCATATTATGTCTTGTTAGTAAAATGAAGTCAGAGGCTCCATATTATAAAATGTACTAATAAAGAACAATGAGTTGTGATGTTTAACAAGTTGGAGTAAGCTCACATGAAGGAAAGGAAGTCAAGGCTGTTACTAGGAAAGCGGTTTATAAGAAGGGTGTGTATATAGAGGGTGAAGTGTTAAGAATATTAATGACTACATCTTTTATTGTCTAACTTTTTTTTTTGTTTTTCCGATGCCAGCCACACAATCCTAGTGTAAAAATCCGAGTTAGCATGTTATGGGTTGTCTTAGTAGAATAGCTAATCCAGCATAATATTGGAAACATGAGTTTGAGTGGTGAGCGTAGGAAAACAATCTATATCACAGATTGATTGAATTATTCTCAGTCATGAGGAGCCTGATACATACAAAATGTTCTGTCCCCACAAACATGGGTGGATTGAAGTTATCGCCCTCACCATCAATGCTTGCTGGTCAGTAACTCCACCCTCCCTCCTTTTGTGATGTTAGGCTCATTTAGCATTATTTTTGTATATACGTCATACCTCGCACAATCCTCTGTTTCACAAACTGTTGGAAAGCACTATTTCTATAAGTACCATTTTACAAGCTTATCAGACAGTTACAAGCTATGGACTGTGGGTAAAGCATCGATGCAGTGCCTCTGTTGACTATAGTATAAAGTATAGTTTGCCAATCAGAGTATAAGCGTTGAGAAGGGTATATTGTAGGATAGTTGTTTATCTAAGCAGGCGGAAAAAGTATAGAAGTATATGAGTTGTGGATATGAGAACGAGTGGAGAAATAATATTAATTGCTAGTCAAATTTTTTTTTTTTTTTTTTTAGAGTTAATACAGGATAAACAGGAAGGGACTCACAGTAACTTGGTGCTGATGTTATTTTCTGTTGTCCTAACCAGTTGATTGGTAACAGGCTCCATAGATGCAAGACCACTGGTA